AAATACTTTATAAAGACTTTGTTATTCTTCACTCTTTACCATTTGTTGGCAGCAGGGACCTGTGCAATATACTGCACATGGACTTTTGGTCTGAGTCTGCCAATTTCTGATTAAAGAAACGGTATATATATATGCTAAATTAATATATTTCTAATCTGTACATGTACTTGTTTATCTGTTTGCAGGTGTGTATGGCGTGTGCAAGATATTTTGTAAGAGTTACCCCCTTTAATTATGTTAATTTTTTTTGTTTTTTTTTTTTTTTTTTTTGTTTATTTATTTTCCATTTCTTGTCAATATATGATTCATTATTTAATTTATCATTCGGCCATGTGTGGAGAGAATTTATATAGGCATTGCCTGTTATTCAATCCATTTGACTTAACATCATGTCAATAAAATTTGATAAAATGAAAAATGAAGGAGTGGACACGAGGTTTATATCACTGTCGTCGGAATCTCCACGTTTGGCCTGTGATCTCCCTTCATTCAAGGATGATTTAGAGTAAACTGGGGCAGAATCCAAGCATGCATTCAAAAGAACTTTTATGAATTTGCTTTGTTTCTCTTTTTGGCCCAGCACCTACCCATCCCAGGGCGCCGAGGCCCACCGTTTATATAAAATTGATTTCCCTTCCCCAAAGCATGCTTTAGATAAAATTTTTAATTTCTAAAGAATGAGAAGCATTTAATAGAATTTGCAAGATTTCCACTTTTGGGCACGCCCCTCCCGTCCCGGGGCACCGAGAGCAACGGTTTATTAAAAAAATATTCCCTTCCTTCCTTAAAACATAATACTCTCTTTACGCATTTCAATAGCAAGCCTAAAGCCAAGACCAGGACATTTCATACACAACTGCTCTTACATAATGCGAGAGGCATGGTTTTATGTAGCCGTGAAACAAACGCCTGACATCTGAACTTTGTGGAATAATATCAGCTGACCTGTTGACGCATTCTGTGGTGCATGTCTTCGGTGTAGCGATGAACACAGCTTGTTTAACATTTCGTTTTGTCCGTATATACTATAAACAAGTGATACTGTAACTTAAAACACAATAAAATATGAACAAGTCTTATCTTTGATCATTACAACTAACATATGAAATATTTTAATTTTCATTGGCTAAGTCAATCTCTAGAGGCCGTACTGATAACTACACACCCTTTATCTAAAGCTCAACGTGACACTGTGTGACAAATATGTGTGAAATGTTGGGATATATGTGTTGACATGCTTTGTCTTAGCTCTAGTGTGGGCTATTGATTACAAATTTCTTAACCCTATCCTGTTTTGTCGGGAATTTAAACAAAGCTTTACCAATACTGGCTAGTGTTACATATCATAAGACAGGTGTACTGGGAACATACACAGAGATATCTTGGATCTCGTTGTCGAGTTTGTCGCTCAGATGACTCGCCTTCTAGTAAAATACATATTATCAATATCTCCAAAACAATTCAATCTACGATCACCAAGTTTTATCGGTGTTCACTTCACCTTATTATGTGACTTCATACTGAATTTTAAAAACTCTAACCTTCAATCTTTTAAGCAATCCTGTTAGCAAAACTGTACTTCTTGTGCACAAAACCCAGTACCTACCGTACTAAGTTATAAGGTGTCGACTTCAAACCGTTCAGTAAAGATGTATGAAGGAAGACAACTCTATTCAAATTGATATCTTTTATAATAGTAGTTTATTTTACAATAATTGAATAAGAAATTCAGTAACAATGAAATATAACAACATTCTTTTCTTAGAAAAACTTGAAAATCGATAAAAAATAAAATTGGATGTTACAAGTGTTTTGAGCTTTGAATACCACTTCCTCATCCCAAATATTTACTCATTCTGGCGTCTTTGATATACATTTTTAGCTATTGATTAGATAAAAAATACCAACATGTGAACATAAACATAATTCAAACTCAAATTCAATAAAACCAAGGCAAACATGAACATAAGAAAGATTTACATGGAGACATATGAAAAATTACATGGAGAATAAGACCAATCTTCGATACTCTAGGTGTTCCGATCACTTTCGCTCTCCGTATCCTGGGAACACGTCATGACAAAATTGAAGGCACAAGCAAAGTAAATTGATTGGCTCCAGGAGAATAACATCTGACCAATCACAGACTGAAACGTTCCTTTTGAAGATTACAAAGGAGCGACATCCAACTTTAAAAGTCATTACAATATACTGTTACGCGACCTCGAAATTCGATTGATGTACATCAAAGATAATCACACTAATCTTTGTGCCATGTCTTCATTTTTTCTATGACATGTTCCATTGGTGCAGAGAACGGAAATGGGCGTAACTCCTGGAGTATCGAGGATAAATAAGACCAGGTGTTCCGGAAGAGTTAGTGTCTTCTGTGTCATCGACGACGTCCGGCACGTAAAACTTGGTCAATCCAGATAAGTAGCGTAAGGCTCTCAAATGAGAAAAGGGTAAACCACAACTCAACAACCAGACACACTAAAGAGCATCCAATACTTCCAGCTTCATATCACACAAGGAAATAAAAATTTTCGAGATGAGATCATTATGACGTCCGTAAAACTTCCCCACAAATCTTTATCGGCCTGTACCTCTCGAAACATTGTGTTTTGAGTTTGTCTATCAGTTGCCGACACACCAGAATCGTGATATCGCGAACAAGCCTTGGAATATCGAATCAACTTTGACATGTAAATACCGTAAGCTGGGGACGCAGGAATGTTATTATCAATAAATGGAAAACTCACCATAGGGAAATTGAAATCACCACGCATACTGATATTAAAGGATCAACGTTAAAACAATAACATTTCGTGTGGAAATTAATTTATCGTATTGCTTACTATGTATTTATCACAAGTAAAAATAGTAGAACAATGAAATTCATAAAATGCATGAATAGCACCATCTAATTCTGATATAATGAACACCATGCAACATTTTCTTAACATTTTTAAATGATTATTAGAAGCTGCGTCAGATATTACATAGATATGAAACAAGTACTAGGTAGCAAGTGAGACTTCAATATTAAGGAGAATTCCATAAGGATTGTGGGGTTATTCAATGACGTTTTTATAGTGTCGTCACACTGAAATAGCATTATTTGGCCACGGTAGCATGACATCTCGTCCGCTGGCACTTTTCATTTCGTAAATGTTGACAAGACGTTTCAGACCTATTTTTATGACAATAACATTAAAATGTCTTCCTCACGAATCATTAGTTTTATTTCGAAAAAAGGAATTATTTAATGGAAAAAATAGCTGCTTTTTTCCCTAAAAGTCCGGGTACTGTCCAGATCAAAGTATCAATAATATTTTCATCTTTTGACAAAAAGTACATTTTAAGTTAATGTTTAAGTAGTAGAATATTTGAGAATCTTATTCTCAAATTCATGTCTTTGCGATCAATTAAAAAAAAATTAAATACCATTAAATGAAAATCTAAAAAGTTCTTTGGTATTTGGGAATGACACAGTAATTGCTTTCGCGCGTAAACAAAAACCCCAAAAATATGGCTATAAAAATACATGTACTTATATATCATGCTGTACAAAAAAAGTAACAATAAATCGCTGGCATTGAGAAAACATTCAGCACCAACATCAACTGACCGTTAGTTTTCATCCCTAATTAAAAATTCAACTTCATTTTTCTTATTAAGAGTTTTGCCGTCACATTCATCTAAATACAAAAATATTTAATATGAGCAGGTAAGGCCACTGTATGTATGCTAAAATATCTTTATATATTACTTACATGTACAAAAATAAACAACAACAGATACAAGTTGGAACAGTCATACTTCTATATTCCTATTTTCAGTTCTTAGGTTATGTATCTATATGAAGTTTTCTGTCAATGGAATTCCAGTTTCGATTTCCATAATCTGTTTTAATTTTAATATGTACTCTTCTTCCTTTTTAAATGAAAAACAAAAAAACAAAAAAAAAAAAAAACAAAAACAAAAAACAAAAAAAAACCTGTAGGTTGTTTTCAGTAATTATAATAGTTCTATATTTAATTAACTCCCTAATCAACATCTGATAACTCAGTTCTATAATGCCTAAATTTTCACATCTGTACCAAAAGCTTGATTTTTATTTCATTTCTTTATTTATTTACCACGCCGTATCAGTCAATTTCACCAGGAAGTGAATGTACCACTACGCCATGTCAGTCAATTTCACCAGGAAGTGAATGTACCACTACGCCATGTCAGTCAATTTCACCAGGAAGTGAATGTACCACTACGCCATGTCAGTCAATTTCACCAGGAAGTGAATGTACCACTACGCCATGTCAGTCAATTTCACCAGGAAGTGAATGTACCACTACGCCATGTCAGTCAATTTCACCAGGAAGTGAATGTACCACTACGCCATGTCAGTCAATTTCACCAGGAAGTGAATGTACCACTACGCCATGTCAGTCAATTTCACCAGGAAGTGAATGTACCACTACGCCATGTCAGTCAATTTCACCAGGAAGTGAATGTACCACCCATCATTATTCAGGTTCCATTCCCTCATAGTCTGTTCGAAGTTAACCAAAGATCAATGTTGATTGAAACCATGACAACAGTTAATTCAAGAACATTCCAAACTATATCGTTGATATAAATTTGATGTCCAGACCACAAATGCTTGTAGACATTAATATGAATCTTAAAATTATTACAAATAATTTGAGAATAAACAATTTTATAATGTCTAGATGCTTAAATTTTAAAACCGCAAGAAATAATAAGACATGCAGTTAACTTAAAATGGTTGTCGATATTAAGGTTTTTTGTATATTAAACATTGTAAATTAATTGTTAATAAACCATTTTATACGAATAACAGAGTTTATTCTCAATTACCTTACCATATTTGATATAAAAAAAATCACATGTCCACAAGCACCTGTGGTCGAGATTATTCCTCCTGATATGATATGAGGATGAAATTTTCTGAGAAGTTCTAGAAAGCAGTTTTGGTTATTTCATTAACTACTGATTTCAAATCAAGTTTGTTTCAAATTTCTGAGGCTTGATTGCTACATACGACTGGTTTGATACACAACAATGCCATGAATCATCGTCGAATCCTTACGGACAAACTCTCGTTCGAATTGTACCAGCAATTCGTTTCATTCACACTGAATAATGAGCACTTCTGTTGCTGCCACTTCGCTGGAATGGTGTGTGTATCTCCCCTCGAATAATGAGACCTTTGTCACATCCGACCCACACCCTTCCTTGATGGTCTGTTGCTATGCAACGTGGTCCCATCGCTCTTCTCTTTTTGTCCAGTAGCACCTTTGCTCTATTTCCATCTTTTGACAGGGCGTATATTTTGTTGAAAGACTCGTCGACTATAAGACACACTTTCTTGTTTTCGACAGATGTGACATCTAACGAGTCGGTGTCACCAACTCCCTCTCCCCTCCACGTGTACATGTATCTACCTTTTTTGTCGACACACACTATACGATGGTCATTAGGGGCTCTGTCCACGACCACAATTTCACCAGTTGAAAAGGCGGTGACCCTGTAAGGGAGCTGAAACACTTCCGGGTCATGATCATCTAACCGTATTTCTTGGAGTAAGCTACCTGCTGCTGATAGCCTCACAACCACGTTCTTGCTCTTTTCTACCAATCCAGACGAAGTAGGGGCATTACCACAGACTATAACATCACCATCTCCTTCTTGCACACAAACACTTCTGGCATAGTTCGGAGACAGGTCTGCAAAATTCGACAATTTCTTACCGTTGCAGGACAGTTTTCTAATGCGGGTGTCCATGAAACAAGTGATAAGGATTTCTTTAGATTTAAACAATGCCATGTTGACAACTTCTCGATCAATTTGACAAGATCTGGCTTTTTCGTATAGGTCTTTATCTATAAGAACGAGTTGTCTGTCGCCGTTATTGTGTTTGGTTCCGTCAGCGTCGTCGCTACTGCCGCTGTAGGACAGCCATGTCGATCCGTCGTCAAGAGGGCAAAGGGCAATGATCTTTCTTCGTGTATTAGTTTGAATGTGTGTTACTTTCAGGTTCAGTGATAAATCGTTAAACATGTTGATATCTTCTGGCGATTTTAAAACTCCGAACAAAGCAACTAATTTTGGTTTATGAAACGACATCTTTTCAAACGACGGGGGTAGCATTCTGTATTCTTCTGGTGTTTGAAAATCCAAAGACTTTATCTTCATTTCCTTTGAAAGAACATGAAGATGAAAAATATTGTTAAGTCTTACTTCTGTTTCTATTCCATGAATAGACGTTTTCAAATCCTGAGTTTCATGTGCATATTTGTCGTGTTTGGCATGATAACGGGACATTTCTCTTGATTCTACAGAGTCTATTTCGTGAAGATACTCATCTCTGAGATTCATGGTTTCTTCACAGATCATGGCTGCAGCATCAGTAATACTCTTTTTACACTCTGCTAATCGTTTGATGATGAAAGTGTGCATTGTTTTATCCTTCTCCTCCACGTCACGATATTTCGCAAGTTTCTGATTGAAAATCTGCACACAATCACTTAATGCAGACTTTAACAATTTAAGGCTGTGTTCTTTTGTGTCCCATTGATGAATTCGGTGAGTTTCAGACAAACAGTCTTGACATATATATTCATCACACGTTTCGCAATAAAAATCGAGTTGTTTGCCCCCATGTCTGACACATTTGTTATGATCGTTCCTGTTTATGACCTCGATGTTTTCCCTAGCGTCAACGATTGATATTATGTTGTCGTTTTGTAATTTGGTGTTTTTAAGATGATATGTCCTACACTTGTCACAAAGTCGTTCCAGACAATCGGTGCAGTACCATTTAACTTCTTCTTCTGATTCACATACTTCACAATTTCCATGTAACAAATCACTTTCGTCAACAGCGTTCTTGTCAGCCATTTTATGTACAAGTGTGTGCTTAACGGTCACACCCGAAACTTGCCACACCATGGGATCGGTACGCAGTAATTGCGTCGTAAACAAATGTCAAATCGTGTAGCATCTTTCACGATACATCAGCCGTGAATATCAATTTAAAATTATGTAATCAGAAATCACGTATATAATTATATTATAGATGTACACGAGGATAATCTGGATATCTTTATAATGCTTATATAGCAGCCTAGCAGTACTGACGTATCGTTACGTATATCATTTATAAAGCATATTCATAAGCAATTACATTTTGGCTGACTGAAATATTTTTACTTAAATATGTGCATAAAGGAATAAAGATAAATATGTTGTCCATTCTATAATTCACATTTAGTCTAATTACCAAAACCCCTAAGTAACGTCTACTTAGCAGTGAGTGGAATTCCCATGGAGCTAAAAATATCTTGAGTGTAACCCATAGAGCTAAAAATAGCTTCTGAAATCCGTTGAATTATTTCAGACTACTGGGTACTAACAACCCTATAATACTATACCTTTCTCTTATAAAAGATGTACATGTATTTGTCATTTTCTATGAATACTTTGTATTTTGTTTCAGTTGTTACAGATCATTAAATAAATAATAAAAACAAAAATAATAAAAATAAAAAATGTCTTATTTCAAACTTAAATTCGAAAAATATGTTCACATCGAGACCTCTGAAAAAGCACAAGGATAATAAAAGGAGAGTGAAGGATGTATAGAATTGAAAATTAATGAGAAAAAAAATAGCTAATCATGCTGTTTTATCTGTAAACAAACTTGACTAGGCAGACCATCGTCCAGTGTTCCCATCTGTTAAGAGCTGACAGGGTGAGTGAGACAATTAAGGTCATGAGGGGTCAGTTAGGACAGGTTTATGATAATTAGATAAGATTTATCACTTTTGTGTGTGTGATAAAGTTTGTGAAAAGTCTTGTCTCGGGGAGTTTTAGTCGGGATGTTTGAGGACACAGACGTGTTCGTGAGAACTTCGCTTGTTTGGTATTAGTTCTGAATTGTGTGAGAACATACGAGCGAAATCCACATAACAGAATGTTATTATTTATTGTTATGTTTCAGACTCGGAAACAATTGTAATGTTTATGATCCCCAACTTTATGTAGATGGACGTGTATAAACGTTCCGTAAATAAACAGGAAATATTGTGAAGACTATTGACATTGACTTGTAACGGTCACATACGTTGGTGTCAGAAGTGGGATGCCGGAAAAAATTATACTGAAGTTTCACAAAGGATATTGACAACAGCTTCAGCAGAATCACCTACGTAAAGGAAAGCAACAAAGACACTTATGACAATTTAATGACAAGGAAGTCCGTGAGGATAGTACCTATTGTGATATGGTGACTCACATCTTTATGTATGTTGACATGTATATACGTTATGTAAATAAACAGTAAGTATTGTAATAATTTTGTTCTTGGCTTGAACCCCGTCACAATAATAAGACCAGGTGTTCCAGAAGGATAAGCACCGTCTTCATTGACATTGATGAAACTTGCCATGTAAAACTGGTAGACATTTATGACTTGCGTGAGCATTTTCGAAAGCCTAATATTAACTCTTAGATTGTAGAAATGTATTACAGAAGGATGATTACATATCAAGAAATGTCAGAAATACTATATATATATTTATATTTAAGTATAATATTTCTCTACTATCGTACAAACAGATATACGTGTAGAACGTGCTCCTGGCATACTAAAGGTCGCTACAATGCACTAAATAGCAAGTTTTTTTTAATTATGCAAAAGACAAACAAATAAATATCACGTTTTAATAAAAAAAAAACAAGCATATTGTCGAATGAATTATTGACACTTCTGCCATTAATAAAAATACATTTCAAACAATAATTACATTATTATTATTGTCATTATGGTAGTACAATGATTGATTATGGCTATAAATTACTAAGAATATAGACCCGTATATATAAAGTTAATGGACGCGATGTTTCATGTTTTTACTAAGACTCCCACAGTCACACTGCATGTGACTATATATATTATTAATTAGTGCATCTCATGGTAAGAAGCTGTTCGCTGTTGCGTGGTACTTTACATTCAGTATTCTGCATGCTGATATAACCTTTAATAGATTGGCAATAAGTATTCACAATTCACGTAAATCCTGGGGTATATTGATCTGAAACAAATATTGTGGTTAAAATCTGTGGAAATATAGAGACCCAGAGGCTGACATACCAATTGATGAACTATATAATTATGTTTAAAATCTTAATGCAGTTGGCTGTACTACTGATGAGGATGATGAGGTGTTACCAGAGCTCGATGAAATGTATATGATGATGTGTTAAATGAAATGATAACAGAAGATTAAGTTATAAATGTCATTAATAATTCAAAGATGGAGTTTATGCTAGAATTAAAAATGAATACCTTAAATGTACGTTGTTTATTTTTAGGGTTAGGGTTAGCTATATATCAAATTATCTCATGTTGTATTGGATCATAGAGTTATTCTAGAACAATGGGAAATGGGTGTAATTAAACCTGTCTATAAAAACAAAGGTCCGATAATTAAAGGGCGATAACTCTTAGGTCTTCTCATGGAAAGGATTTTACCACTATCTTAAATAAACGACTTACAACATTATTTTATGAAATACAAATCATATCCGATGCTCAAGCGGGTTTCAGGAACGGTTTCTCTTCAACAGAGAACATATTTATACTGTGTTCTCTAATATCTATATATTTTTCTATGGGTAAAATCTTATACTGCAAATTCGTCGATTTTCGAATGCTTTCGATACGGTGTGGAGATGTGGAATATGGAGAAAGTTGCTTTATAGTAGTAATTCAGAAAAATGTTTAATGTTATTTTTTATATGTATTCAAGGCCACAGTCTTGTATCGTAAATGGTCAAGAAATGTCTGTTTTTTTTAATGTCGGAGTAAATAAGTGGAATATATGTCACCACTTTTGTTAGCAATTTGTTTGAACGATTAAGAGGATTGCTTTGACCAAAACATTAAAATCAAAATAAGGAGTAGTACGCCAGCTTTTATGGTATTTGATGAGCTTGGGAGATTTCCAATTTAAAATTTGAAGTTAAACGTAGAACTATTATGTTTTGGTAAAAGTGAGTTACTGATAGGAACTAGTTCTCTAGTGTAATGTTTTGATTTACTATATAAGCTAGAGGAAAGGAGAATGGGGCAATTTAAATAGATTGATTATTGAAGTTTATTTTTAACAGCAGTTTTATAAGGAATTTCCAAGAAACCTGTTCTGTGGATAAAACATGGTTAAAATCTATCATTAAAAATAGACGAGATCAATACAAGTGGTTTAATGATATAGAGAATGCATCTCGTTGACAATTTTACAGTATATTCAAATGTGAATTCATTTTTTAGAGAAGTATTTAATAGAACTTAGAAAGATCGAACAACTTAAAGTAAATTTCGAACTTCATACATGAAATTTCTGATTGCAGCAGGACGCTGGAGGGGCATTACACGTCAGGATAGAGTGGTACTTTTTGTACTTATGAAACTGGTGATGAATACCATTATCTATATAACTGTAATTAGGAACAAATACTACAACTTAGAAACGAGTTCATTTCAAATTATTATTGCAAATATCAAAGTTTTATCAAGTGAAGGGAACGGTTTTCATCTTCAAAAACGTTTGATTTGTAACGTTTGTAGATTCTTAGAAAGTTGCTTTTTTAATATTGTTTATATTGTATAATTATGTATTAGCCAAACCTTAGTTTGCCAGCCATGATTCAAATCTTTACTCTGAAGTCCGTTTGTGTGGGGATTGATTTATAAGATCTAGCAGATCCTCGATTCTCCAGGGGTTACAATCACGTTCTGTCTATGCACCCTGGAACATGTCATGGCGAAATTGCTGCTTCCATGTGTGAGACCTTGTGGACAAGGCGAAAAGACTACTTCGATCCTTTGATGTACATCAAACGAATCTCGAGGTCGCATAATGGTGTATTGTAATGGCTTTGATATTGGATGTGGCTCCTTTGTAATCTTCAGAAGGAAGGTATCAGCCTGCAATTGGTCAGTTGTTTTTCTCCTAAAACCAATCAAATAACTGTGCTTGTGCCTTCAGGAGCACAGAAAGCGAAAACCGTCGGAACCCCTGGAGTATAGAGGATGTTTCTAAGAGTGAAATTATCATTATGAAGGTATCAAAAAACCTTATACTGTAAATCCGCTAGTTTTCGTGGAGGTTTATTTTCCTTCATTTCGTGTGTACGGTTAATCCACGAATTTATATATTTATGAACTCTTAAAAATTAATAAGTAGATTAATTAAACTATATTTATCAACGATATAGTGTTCACGAAATAATATATAAAAAAAACCGCGAAAAGTTAACCTCAAGAAAATATATGATTTTTACAGTACTTGTTATATATGGCAAAATAACTTAGATATCATGTAATACAATGCCTGTTAAAATTTCACTGTTATCGATATTTTTTTAGAGATAGAAATATAATTAGTTACGCGTGTTATATGTCCACGTCGTCCAATAAGATTTATATTGGACACAACAGCGTCTAATATATTCAGGATAATTCCTATTGGCTACAGCTAGATGCAGTAATGTTTGTTTATTTATTTATGTACTGTATATTTATTTGTATATTAGTTTATTGTTTATACATTTATTTACTCTTTATTTATTTTACTGTTTATTTATTTACTGTTTATTTATTTATTGTTTATTTTTTTACTGTTTATTTATCTATTTACTGTTTATTTATCTATTTATTGTTTATTTTTTATTTACTGTTTATTTATCTATTATTTATTTATTTATTTACTGTTGATTCATCTATTTAGTTTAAACATATTTTTATTCAGTAATAAGCATTTAATTACAGACAGGTACGCATTTATGGGATGGGAAAACAAGCTTAAAGCTTATATTAATTCCTTTCCCATGTACATACAAAGACAAATATAAATCGGAAATGGAACACCTAACATCGACATTGGATGAAAAAGTAATATTTGGACATAACAATAAAACATATTAACTTACGTATACGCACATGTGGTGGATAGAATTACAAAATGTAATTTACAACTTAAGTAGTGGCGCCTTAATTTATTGGTATGTAAAAAAAGGTTACCTTTCAAAGCTCCATTCAGATCTATGAAACAATACATAATGTACAGTTTTATAATAAGAATTAAAGGACAAAAAATATTAGGTAAAACGTTTACTAAGCTTGATATAATTTTGCACGGTCAAGAATATTTGTTCATTTTTCTGTTTATTCGTTTATAATAGAGTTTTTTCAGTTAGAGTAATATCTAGTTGAAGTAAAGTATTCATCTATTTATTGTTTATTTATTTACTGTTTACTTATCTATTTACTGTTTATTTATCTATTTATTGTTTATTTTTTATTTACTGTTTATTTATCTATTTATTATTTATTTATTTATTTACTGTTGATTTATCTATTTATTGTTTATTTATTTACTGTTTATTTATCTATTTACTGTTTATTTATCTATTTATTGTTTATTTATTTACTGTTTATTTATTTACTGTTTATTTATCTATTTACTGTTTATTTATCTATTTATTGTTTATTTATTTACTGTTGATTTATCTATTTATTGTTTATTTATTTACTGTTTATTTATCTATTTACTGTTTATTTATCTATTTATTGTTTATTTATCTATTTACTGTTTATTTATTTACTGTTTATTTATCTATTTACTGTTTATTACGAATACAATTGATGCATTATGGTTTATGTTTCCATGTGTACTGCATGGGCCGTGGTACACTTTCCTATTGATGTTCATTCATATAATATCTATCTCCTAATTGTTGTCGAAACTAGCTCTCTATATATATGTGTGTGTGTATAAGATTCTATGTGCAGTTACGAGTAACATCATAAGCATGAACTGATATCTCTGTTTACAATTCGACGAATTCATAATTATTCCTGACATGCACTGAAATGTGTCTTCTTCAAAAGCTATCAATGCTTTCTTCAGTTTGTAGGTACTTGTGACGATCGCTGATATACCCGTTCGCCCAGAGCCTTGTCAACTTAATCTAAAATACATAAAAATATTTCCTTTTTAACAAATGTAAATATTTTTAAATTAACAAAAAGAAACAGGGATAATGCAATCGTTACCTTATAGTTGGATCAATGTATGTTTCCTTTGTTTTCTAAACATTTCAATAAACGATCATTAAAAGGATGACGATGCATATTGCCAAAGTACGGTAAGCAGGGCAACAGTGCGTAAAATATATTGTAGTGGTGACCGTCACGACGGGAATACCAAATTAACTCGTAAATGTATGGCAGCCCAACTTTGCCAAAATGAAATATAACAAGTATCGATATAAGAAAGAATGACAGAGTAAGAACATTCTGATGGGTCTAACACTATGTTAACATTAAAACAAAATGAAAGGCGTCGTGTAAAGCTGATATTATGCTCATGTCAATTTTTTGTATTGTTTCCGTGACGTACAATGTTAAAAGCACTTGTGTGTTTCCATATCATTGTAAGGTATATGTGTAAAAACATGGCTGCCGTGAATGTGTGTGACGGGGATGCCCTTTCTATTTTGGTATGTAGTGACTGTGAGACGGTGGAACTTGTCGACTGGTTCTGTCAGGATTGTCAACAGAATTTTTGTGGTGAGTGTAAAGATCATCATCTGAGAAGGAAGAAATCAAATATGCATGACGTTGTTCCATTACGAGAGGCTAGATACAAGCAAATATTACTGAGCCGACGTTCATGTGGTCTACATCCGGGTGTAGCAATAGATTATTGGTGTGAAAATTGTGATTCTGTTATTTGTGTGAAATGTGTTCCAGATCGGCATAAAAAACACGACTGGTGTGCAGTGGACGATTTCGTGAGTCGTGTCCAGACCGAAATCCGTGGTAAAACTCACGCTTTGCGAGAAACATTGATGGTATATAGGAACGTGGCTATCGACAATTCAAAATTGTCGGAATACATAACTCATTGCATAGCACGGCTCAAGGCAGATGTCAGCAACCAAGCAAGGGCGTTCTGCCAAGAGGTGAAAGAAATGGAAGACGGTCTTTTGAAAGAAATAACCATATTTGAGAATAAAGAAACAGCAAAACATAGCAAAAATTACGCTGAGATGAAAAATGATATGTCGGAATTAGATTCATTGATCACAAATACTGAACAAAAACTTGAAAGTTGTGACTCCGCACTGTCTTTGTCCAATTTATCAAAAATGTTGGCTTCTAAATCCGACTGCTTTCAATGTCCTGAGAGAACTAATTGTCAGCCACCGACTTTCAGCAAACCAGAATATGTCGATCGAACAAAGTTAGCATCATTGTTTGGTCAGTTGGAATATCCATCTTCTAAAAATGTGGCCGAGAAATCAGTATACGATGTTAAAACAACGTGCAAATACCTCAAAACAAAAACTACAAGAAAGATTCTAGCACTCTGTGTACTGGACAATGGTAACATATGGGTTGCATTTGACGGAAATAGATTTTTGATGTTGATGGACGAATATTTAAGTATAATAAAGGAATCTTGTGATACAGAATACAGTGTGGTCAGCATGGCACTTTATAAAAACACGGACATCCTGTTCACAAGGTTTATGAACACGCGCGTACAGCGACTCGTTTCCAATGGCGAAAAAACGATATCAATTGCCGATTTATATCCTTACTACGCGAAGGGCATTTGTGTAAATAATGAAAATAGACTTTTTGTTTGTGCTGTGATGTCGCCAGCGTTATCTTGTAAAATTGTGAAAATGACTGGAAGAGGTCAGATTCTCATGGAAATAGAAACAGACCAGAATGTTTGTGAACCGCTCACTTTACCATATAGAATTACTTGTGCAGATACTGGTGAATTATTTGTCGTTGACATGGCAAAAGATGACCACCATGTCACATGTTTAGATAAACAAAGGGATCGATTGGTTTCTTGGTCTTGGCGAGGTGAAGGTGTCGGTCTCGTGGCCCCTTTGGGAATAACAAGTTACAAAAACGCTTGCTTTGTTACCGACGAAACAAACCACAAGATATATGTGTTACCGGAAAAGAGGAATACAGCTGCAGTGTTATTGGACGAGAGCACCCGCCAGTCAGGACCACGTTGCATCACTGTCGACCGGAAGGGATGTATCTGGGTCGGATGTAATAACGGGACCATTCTTAAGATTGAAAGATAAATAAAACTGATAAAAAGTTCAGGCGAAATTGAGAGGATGACATCACTAACTCATAGAATGAACTGTCTTAAAGATATTTTTACAACACAATACATGAAATACCGTAAATATGATAGAAATAATTATTTTCAGATCTCGTTTAAAATCATCTGTGATATTATGTTTTATATAGCATTGTTATTATCATATATATAAATGCCAAAGGCAATATATAGTTGACTGATAATTTGTTTTTAATACTTAAACGTCTTTTATTATAACTAATACAATGGAATTAGGCCAAGCTTTCTATCTTTTGTAAGTCCTTTCCCACATAAAGTTTGACAAAATACATATTGACAAGCCAAGACGTCATGTTTAAATACAAATTTTGTTTTTTCCCACAACAGACCAGATGTGATGATAATCGGGCCATGTTTAGAGTGATATCCTAATTAATTGGTTGGGTCCGTCTTTCTCCTGTTAATCTGTTACTCGAAAAGATATAAGGTATACAACGAAACAGTACCTTCAAAGCATGCGTCCACTGCTAGTGTATCTCTGGTTAAAAAGGAAAATAGACAGGTCTGCATGATAATATATAAAGATTGAGAAACACATAATAGATGTGACCAAATATTTTCGATGAGACTAAGAAACAAAGTTAGAGGTGACCATTCTTGTGTTTGTTTTACACATATATAATTCTTTTAGAATATCTGAACCCAGAAAATCCAAGTCATCAACTGTTTAACCTAAGATGCGTACATGCTCGATACTACAGTCGATGGCGTCCTATCCAATACACCTGTTGTACAATCAAATATTTAGCGTCTAGAAAATGTATTTAAGTCATGCATGCACCGCTTCCAAACATACTGGTAAAATTTTGTACATATCTGTTGATCGCAATAGCTTTAAAACAGGACTGGATACAACGGACATGGGACACAGTAAGTGTTAGGTAATCGCAGGCCATAAAGTACAATGTGGATCGGTTTACCATATCGACAGGAAACAAATCTATTTCTTCCGAGTGGTATAAAACACCACTCATCTATAAAGTTTTGTAAAGGTTTTAATTCTGTTTATTTATACCTTGGTGTAAGATTTCGATATTAACAAGGATATTTGGAGATGAACGCATTTTACAAAGTTATATGTTATTTAAAAATTGTTAATATCAACACAGACTAATTATATGCAATTTCGTAAATGCAGCTTAAGTGTATCCGGATGTTTCAGGCGGATAGTATTTATCAGCTGAAGTCCGAATATTAATGTTGAGCTGTGGGTTTCCGTTTCATAAGTGTTGTTTCCTTGTGCTGTGTTCGGTATTAGTTAATTTGTAGACATAAATCTTCAATAGAATATTATCCTCAGAACTTGTTATTTCCTTTTAATTGTCATCCACTTTAGTACTGCTTCCTTGTTGTTTTAGAATCTTGAATATTCACAATACGGAATCTTTTACTTAGAATTGGTCTTTGATTGTTTTATATATCACCATCGCACACCTTTTACTGGCGTTTCATAAGCAACAGGCTATCTGCTGGCTAATATTTTCAGGAGTGACCGCTTCAAAGTACGTGAATTGTGATCAATCCCTTACCAGGAAACAGAATCATACGTTCTCCGATTGGTTGAGACGTTTGAACCTCCACCTCTGGGTGGCAGGTTAGAAGTCTATTTTTGGCAGTTGCCAGATAATTGCCTTATCTGGATACTCCGACGTTCTCACCGCCAAAGCTTCACACGTCCTTGAATAACCCTAGTATTTAATATGGCGTAAAGCAACAATGAATAAATAGAACCTCTCAAAAACCAGCTGGCAAATATCTTTTAGAAAATAATTCACCAGGTGAAACAACGAAAGATTCGCAACCCAAAACGGTTCTTCCTGTCAAAACTGAAATATCGATTATCATAGAGTTATTTTGTTGATCAAAGATGAATATTCCAAGCAAATTCAATTGTTAAAAGCTTAAATGTAAGACAACCAAACGGAGAAGTTGATTTTGACATAGAAAGAGGAGCTTTTTGATGAGGCCGGCCAAACATATGATTTGGATACACAAGATTTGACACTCGGTTAATATTATTATTCCGCATTTTTTGAGATATGGTGCCGAAAATAATTTTTCTATTATTACATTTCATTATCTAAAAGAATACTTTACGCATTATCAAACTATGACTTGTAGACATTTTCATGCACAACAATAAGGGGAAATGATCAAAGGGCTTAATCGTATGTCATAAAAAACTCTATGCAAAATTTAAACACCTGTCTTAGTTAAGGAAATAGTTATATTACATTTATACCAGAGAATAGTCAGAAATTACCTATTTGATAAACCTTTTTATAATTCCAATCGAAGACCGGAAGGGGACGTTGCAATGTCACTGTCCGTTCAAAAGGACCGATCAAACTAAAACCTCAGTCGATTAATTCTTTTCGGTAGTCCTTCCTTGGGTTTACTTTTCGGGCTGGAAGATCCAGCGCTAAGATAGGTCACTATTACCTGCTTGGTGTTGTTGTGCAAGGTCAATGGTAAATGTCACTTTTACTATAAATAGAATATTAATTTCCGCTCAGAAACTTAACTTCCACAGACTGCTTCTTTAATAAGTGGGCCTGTTATTTTTGTATTTCGTTTTATTGTGTAATGTCAAATATTTACAATCGTCTAGATATGTAAAGAAATGTCGAACCCTGATTTATTGTAATCATCGAGTAAGCCTTCAATGTTATAAATATATATGGTTTACTTTTAATTCTCTGGCAAGTCTTTTGTAAAATCTGTATCGCAATTAAAATGAAATTGTTTACACAATCAAGACAATACACAACAATAAAGAAATCTAGCCATAGTATTTAATATGTCGCCTAAAAAGAGTTCTTTTTCGAAATATAATTGTCTTTACAGTAAAAGAATACATGTTTACAAATGGAAGATCGGATGTTATTTCAGTTGATACACTTTCTAGCAGTACTTTACTTTAGGTTAAAATGATAGCTTTATAAAAAGGGTTCATTTTGTATTACTCAGAATAAGCACTAATAATGCGATAAATAATTATTTTTAAAACAGTTAGTACTTTCCGTGGTTTGTGAATAATAACATATTCAACATCCATTGTTTCTGCATTTTTATTTACGTGGACTAAATTAGAAAGCAATCTTCAGTGTTTTATTGTCAAATCAATTGAATATCATAAAGAAACATTAATTGCTTATCTGAATTTCAATCTGATGTGGTGTGAGTATAACGTATTCTTGTATATTACTGTAGCTTCATCCGATGGCCCCCTGACTGTAAAAGTTTCTGAAACAGAAAAATGTATCAATGATTATCGATATTACTTTAAAATTATGAATGTACATGTAGCTACTACAAAAAGCTACTACTATAAAAATGCTGTACACAATAATGTGATAAACAAACAATAGTATACAACTCTGGCGGATATCAAATGTCGTTATGCCAGAAGAGTCAGGGAAAATTCAACAGCGGAAAATAATAATGAGATGATGCCGTTAAAAGTTGTCTATAAAAGTCAGTCAGCAGTTATTACGAGTGATGATGTAACGAAGAAGCATGGTGCTATTTTAACCTCTGGTATTGGTTACGGTTAAAATCGCAGGATTGTGCAGTCAAGCAACAACATTTACTGTGTATCTTGTCACCATGAAAATATACTTTGTTACACAATGACCATTGAAGATTACCTCAGGAGCTAAAGGGACATCACAGACGAAAATAACTGTTGCTTAATCGATAGAATGTAAACGATAGCTATATCATTGATGAAAATAGTACTACCCACAACCACTGCCCTCCGAAATTTGTCTCAGATAAGAAGACAGTGCCTGTCTCAGTCACTAATGGAATGTCCTATAATGGTCATTCTTGGCGGAGGTGATGCTAGTGGTGCAATAAGACAAGATCAAGTAATGGTGAGGTAATATCTCGAGACTCATCAAATCGTACAACGGACAAAGAATGATCAGGAGAAAGAGTCATCAATCACAAGCAAGAAAATATCAAACGGTACAAAGAGCAAACAATTCAAAAAAGGACAATCGCCATCCTTCTCAAAATTATTCGGAACATTTTGAATGTGTTGGTGATGGTGATCCATGTTATATATGCCTAAAGTGGTAACCAGATCTAGTGAACAATTGTAGTTTTCCTGAGTTCCTGAGCTTTCCTCTTCCTCTGACATACTTCATATATACTTGTATATCTACTTATATATTTGTGGTGGTAGTGTTGAATAATAACATTCCATCATATAATTCTTAAACAATTTGCAAACCTTAAAAATAACAAGTGATCGTGACTGAAATAAGGATACTACTGGATTTTTTGTACGCGACATTTTATGTTGTACCTCTGGGCTGTCGCACAAGCTAAAGTAACATGCCCAACTTAAGTGAAATCACTACAAAAATGATGTGCAGTCGCATGTCCTATACAAGTAAGACAATTATGGTGAGGGCATATGAGTTAGTTTTTCACTGGTTTTGTTTTCATTTTGTCTAGGTTACAGATTAAATCGTATGTACATATTTCAAAGTATGTATGTAATTGTTAAGTTCTCATTCATCGGCGTAGTATAGCTGTTGAGAGTTCATTACTATGGGGTCCGAAATAATGGTTCGATGATTTTAAGAATAAAATAGCTAATGGTGAATATTCAACCACGTGTTCCTTCTATTTTGGATTTTTTACGTCTTACTGCATTAAGGTACTATATCTTTCTGAGAATATTTGTAGAAGTTCAAAGACATTATTCTTCATCTATTTCACTGCTACACCATGTTTTGCCTCCGATATTTCGCGGTATGTTGACTAGATTCATCTCTTTTTCACTCCGGCGTAAGAGTCAAACATGATAACTCCTACATATTATAGAAAATTTATCTCATTAAGCAAGTGTCTTTCGCATAGAGGTTCAGTGACTAGAATTGTTTAACATTAGACACAGAAACAAAAGACAGGCATTATGACAGTCTTTTAGGCTAGTTTAATTGTATTATTGGTTTAGTTATAAATGTTGAGTTTATTTTATTATTGATTTCTGTATTTATTTTTATTTATTATTTATGCAGTTTACTAACATTAGTCAACAAATATGATTTGTAGGTGGAATACAGAAATTCTTTAACGAAAAAAGAGTCCCTTTATAGTTGCAATATTGCCGTTAATTTTACATTTAAAAATCTACTGCAGTTAATCCTGTTCTATCGGTCACAAAGTATATGAAATTAAAAATCTTACTCAATTTCGCATACGAAAGGAAGCGATATGTTGCATGGAACATCGTTCCAGTGACCAGACAAAGTTAAAGCCAAGCAATCCTCCTTTCCGTTCTGGTCGTTTGGTTCACCGGCCTTCCAGTTCGCGTTTGTGATCAAGCTAAATGAACTAGCCCAGTTCCATTCTCCTTCAACAAAGGTGTCGTGTCCACCTAAATAGTATTCACCCTGTGGTGCTGAAATTACATGAGAAAGATTACTCTTTTATCACAAGGAGAAATGGTGAACCACTATTTATACGTACTCAGTGTTTACGAGATGTTTGCCTGGATTCCATTTGAATGTTTTAGCCTTGTGTTACTGATATCGCGTCTGTTATACAGGCTACATATGTTATACAATAACTGACCGTGTTTAGTTTGAACTTCTCCGTCGATAAACGTGACATCCGATGTCTGCATAGGTTCTGCGAGTTTTCCGTTGACATTTCGGCAAAAGCTCTTCAACAATAAAAATTACAATGTTATCTTATAGTACATATGTACACAAAGTTATTGAGCTGGGATATAATTGTCTTTTTTGTTAGAATACATTCAAAAATCCTATACGTTTAAATTGAAAGAAATCAATAGTATGAGTGACCTGCATAACAAATATTTTGAATAAACATAATTAACAGGTTTGCAGTATTAACTCACCCCAGCTTCCGCCCATGACCCAGTCACTACACTAAAGTAGTAACAGAGCTCATCATGCTGCACCCATCCTGACGGGCAGGCTACATAAAGATACATATGGCAATAAAAGTTCCAAAGTTTGTTTTCAATTCTTAATTTGGTCGCGAATTTTTCCTTACCATTGCCAAATACTCGGGAAAGTCAAACATCAGAAACGTGTTGTTTTGAAAATGGAAACTTTGAATACGAGGTTACGAATAACGAAAATAAAAAAAATAAAATTCCATTGAAACAAATGTATGATAATGTAATTAACATCAAGAAAACAGCCAATCAGTCTTCATGACACATTCGACCTTGTAATTTAAGCCTAAGAATTATTATCCCAATAATCACAAAACATGATACACTTGGAATATCTTCTTCCCTAAAGCATTATCTCTTTCTATAGGCTCACTTGTCAAAATCTTGATTTTGGCCTCACTGTTCGGTATCTACCAAAGTGAAAAACCGTTCTGCCATCTGGCAGAGAAAAACAATACTTTTACAAGAGTTTTCGCCCGTTGCTTTTTTTAGCTTTGCTATAGCCGTTAGAACTGTTGGTCCATTGTCAGTACAATGTCACCAATCATACCATTTTCCATTGTTACTGTCCTCATATGCCTGTAAAACCAAAACAAAGAAAAACACCGTTGCAGAAACCATTGCGTTGTCTCTTTTATTCCTTGTAGAATCTGGAATGTGTTAACAGAAGGTGAAAGAAAAAAAGCATATAATGAGTTTTTCAACCACTCCTGAAGACTACTACAAATGTCTTCACTTTTGCTCGTTATACTTTTAAGAGTTCGTGTGAAGCATATCATTATTTATGACCCGAACTCCTGTGAATATTACACCAATTTTGCTATATCTTAATGACGGTTATTTATGAACCGAACTCCTGTGAATATTACACCAATTTTGCTATATCTTAATGACGGTTATTTATGACCCGAACTCCTGTGAATATTACACCAATTTTGTTATACCTAACATACGGTTATTTATTTACCGAACTCCTGTGAATGATACACCAATTTTGCTTTACCTTAAAAACGGTTATTTATGAACCGAACCCTAGTGAATATTACACCATTTTTGTTATACCTAACATACGATTATTTATTTACCGAACTCCTGTGAATATTTTGCTTTACCATTCATATATTATTTATGATATGACTACCTTGTACGGTTGTCCATATGACTGTTAAGAGGATCAGAATGTCCCTTATCATGGTGACCGTCTAGTCTGCTGTCAGGTCGTCTATGTGTTGTAAAAGCTTTTATCTGGCCACCAACGGATCAAAGATAACAGAACTTGAACCATTTCCTATTTCAGTTTCGTTATTAGCGTAACTAAGCAGTACAAATATATATAATATACAATTTTGTATACTGAATACACAAAGCACATTTATGATTAGTAATATATACATTATCACATTCATTTCATAATTAGTTTTTACACAATGCACACAAATACCCTATATAAATTCTATTCACATATCACATTCATTTCATAATTAGTTTTTACACAATGCACACAAATACCCTATATAAATTCTATTCACATAACATATGTACCCAATCCTATCCTTTCTTCTTTAAGACACCTACGGTATACTTTATTGCAATATCAACGAAATTCAACAAAACCTAAGACCTACACAATTTCGTTCAAAACGGTCCTTCACAATGTCTTAGCCTATCAAAACGCTCCTTTCCATCATTGATGACATAGGAGCTCCGCCTATTTTCCAGTCAAGTTGTGGATTGTTTTGAGTCAGGATGTAGGTCATTGCTTATGAAAAGGTTTTAAATGTTTGTCTGCGTAGATTATCTAACGTCATTTTTTATATTGTACATACCCTAAATTCGTTATGTCTATCTCTGAATGATAAAGAAATTTGCAGACTATAGTAGATCGAAAAAACAACGAACAACGGGAAGAGGCATCGATGACAGAAAACTAATCCGAAGGATTTATGTATCATTCTCTATAGAATTATCTAGTAAAGGTAGGAAACAATACCATATGATTATTTCATCACGTTGTGATATAAACTGAAATTGGTCCCTGGATTGAGAATATCGCCTAATGTAACGGTATCGTCTTCATCAACATTCCGACATAAGCTTACCTTCAAACTCACTGGAAGCAGAGAAAAGCAAATCGGAAATATGACACAAAAATTTGCACGTTCGAAATTTCCCTTTCACATCTCGATGACTCATTTTAGGATGCCGTTACGATATATTTCTCCGATGTCGAGCATCTGCCTCAACCGGAAAGATGGTCGCCATCTTTGGGCTAGCTCCAGGATTCATGAGTATGTCGGGGATATGATCATGAATATTATCAAATAAAAATACTTTACATAACCACTATTTTAGAATGTATTAAACACACAGTTTGTAATTTCTATAAATATCTCTGATATCTCCACAATTCCGGTCTTCAAGTCATGTGCTGACGTTATTAGTTTTGTAATTAATACTTAATAATTACGGATTTTTCAAACAATTTTGTAATCAACACTAACAGGCTTCATTTTTTGTATATTTCTGGAAATAGATGAGCATCTGTTGTAACTATAGTTTCAGATATCATAACCATAGCATCTTCATAAATAAGGAAACTTGGTAAGTTGTTTTTATTTCTATTGATTATTATCAACTCCGTTTTTATGAACTCGAACATTACATCCTGTATCCCAGGAGCTTGGGAATTAAATATGCTATTAAACAGTAATTTGGTGCTAAACTCTCTTTTCATTGTATAAAAATCATTCAATATGCCATTTATACCACATGCTTCGCTATGGCTTTGTCTTATTATTGCGCGTATCGCCTATATTTCCCTGATTTTCCCCCAAGTTCCCAATAAGATACATGTATATTATCATAGATGCAGCTAATGACCTGAAATGTTCAAAGAAATGTTCACTTTTTATTACGTTTTCTTAAAACAAGTGTAGAATTGTTTTAATGATTTTGTTCCCGTGTTGTTATTATACTTTCTCTTGAGTCTCAGTTCAAGTTGTTTTGTTCCTATATCTAGCATATGAATTGCAATAAGTAAATTCTGTTGGGCAGCTTTGTACTCCTGGTATCTGCTTTTACATTGGTTGGTAAAGCAAGCATTATCTACTTTCTTGTGCCATTATCGCTTGTTTGTTTTATCTGTATTAAGGAACAAAATGGCGAAATAATTTCTTTCAGGAGTTCGCCAAATTTTTCTACACTATTACTTACAACTATGCTAGAGCGACATATTTCCTCTAACTGTTCAATATTTCTTCACTACTCTCTACTGAATTAGTTCCGTACGTTCTTCAGTCCATCATATAAAACAAAATTTATTACTGTTGACATTGTTATCATATCTTCATTCTAAGGTTTTAATACTGAAAATAACGGATAAATGGTATGAAAATTGGTTGAGTTACTACTGAAACTTTCACTTAATCAAATATTTTGCTTTGTGTTCCGAAAGAATTAGTGTCTTCTGTTCAATCGACGACGTCCGCAATGTAAACACTGGTCAATCCAAATTAGTAATGTTAGTTTCTCAAATGAAACCATTATACAACAACAGAATCATAACTACTACTATAACTTTTCCTAAATCTTTATTAACTGATATATATTCTTCTAAGGCTAAATTACTATCAATGTTTTTTATCCGGTTTCAAAAGTATATCCAATTATGAACTACCTTTGATAAGTACCAAATTATGTAAGTCAACGTATCTGTATAACATAATTATTCCAGGATAGGTCTCGAAGACCTGCAAAGGAGGTGTGGATGAGTAATAAAGTATCTGGATACATCTGCACATAGTTATGTATGTTATCTACTCTACAGCCGTATGTTTAGGACATCTTTTGGTTAAACAGAAGCTCAATGAAGTCATCAATATTTCACTTTTTACGGTATTACTGTTTAGTCACCATATTGACGAAATACGGGATCGTGCCAACCGATATCAACTGAAAATGAGGGTTTATCGCATAAGCGTTAACTTATATATAATATACACAGCTTTTAAATAACATGCGTTTCTATTCTTCTTGTGCGTTTTCAACTTTACTATTATAAACAAAACGGTTTGTCAATATTTTACCCACGTTTTGTTTGTTTTTTTTTCAATATGTCGATATTGTCTCGTTGACTGTTTATTCATTAAACACAAATAAGACGGAGTGTTGGGAAACACAAACAAGCTTGGAACACAGGCACTCACGGACAAGTTATCATGGCTGTGTGATTTACATATCTTATAAATAAGATATCGCTTATGATACTTGAGATGTGATGCCAGATTTAAATAAATACCTTTTGGCATTTGTTTAAATTTGTGACATAATTAAAAACAAATATGTTATGAAATGATGGGTTAAAATTCTTATATACAGAGGTAAATAATGCGAGAAACACTTCCCAGGACAAAGTCAACTTGAAATGTTTGGTGAAGTAAAATCCTCTTTGATAACAGTTATATTTTGATTTAGGGATGGTTTATCCGATAATTTCCTCACTGTTGTCGTTCCTGAAACACAATACATTTTAACTTATTTTTCATGGTTCACATATGTAAGAATGGTTTCTTTTCAAGATGAATGATCATTGTTATAGATCCCGAAGAATTATCGAAAATCCAAAATGCCCAGCATTCTATCTTCATTTGTATTGCATAATAATTACAATTGGGTGTAATTGGACAAAAGCTATTGCAAATTACGATATTCCTGTCCATAGTGCTTCACAAAATAAAAATGTAGCGCAATACCTATTAAAACATAAGTTGATTTAACAAACACATCCGATGGGTTCCAAAATATTAAAGTTCAACTCAGTCAAAAAGTAAAGCAGTTAACAAAACCATGGAAAGATATTTTGGCCGAAGTAAATATTGACACGTGATCTAAATATTCATTGAAACGATTTTAAATACGTTTTATATTATAAGGGGGTTCCGATTTCAAAGGAAAATAATTTATTATCCATAAGATATGCTCGTGGAGCTTTAAAGGTGTTTTGTTTTCTATAGGGTTAGTGATTTATATCACTACGACTTTATTTAGCAAAATCGTTAAGATATACTGCATATGATTTTCGTAATAAACAGAAGAAAATACTTACTCTATTTCACACACGAAAGGAAGAGATATATTACAAGGCACATCGTTCCAGAGACCATTCAGTACAATAGCTAAACAATCCTCTGTCCCTGCATTATCGTTTGGTTCCCCTGGAGACCAGTTGGCATTAGTGATGGGTTCCATAGTACTAGCCCAGATCCAATCTCCTTCTACGAAGAAGTCAGCTCCTCCTAAATAGTACTCCCCGATTCTCGCTGATTGGACGGAAAAAGATTTCAGTTAAATGGATAAAATTACAGAGGTTGAATGAAAAAACAATATCGCTGTAAAAATCAATATGACTACATCGCAGTAAAGTGAATAGAAATTATGATGCAACCTACTTAAAAGTAATCACAGTAGACTTATTCTGTAACTCAATGAAAGAATTAGATGGTAGGTGCGCGGACATGATAAATCATTTGAACGGAGAATTTTTAGAATATTAAAGCAGCTGAACGATTCGGGAGATCAGATAACAATAGCCAGCATAAAAACTGTTTTAGAGAAAAACTCTCCCGTATAATTGCACGAAAGGCACAAAAGTGAATGATACATTTCAATGCGAGTTAAAAATTAGATATATTAAAACCAAGTTATAAATTAAACAGTATAATAAAGCTGTTCCGGTTTTCTATAGGTCTCATGAGTGATAGGTAGAGCTTAAATTGTTGACGTCTTACAGACGACAAAGAAAAATTGAAATTAATGTAAAAAATAAGATTGAGATGCGCACTTGCCAACAAATCAGTTAATAATTTTCAATATTGAAGAATCTCAATAGCATGTCAAGTACATGTGTATGTTCAGACAAGGACAAAACACCACGTATTTAAAACCAGCAATAATATTTTGATATGAAACTTTTTATTCTCTTAGCAAAAATATACTTCTTTATATCGATAATTCAAATCAAACAAACTTTAAACTGGAATTGTACTTTCAGTATACGTTCTTGTTAAACTGAAAAAATAAATTTGTTATACTGACGATGTGTCTTTTTCACTGCTTCGTCAATGAATGCACCTTCGGCAGCTCCTACTGGTTCAGCAAGTTTTGCGTTGAAGTTTCGGCAGTAACCCTATAACAAATACTTGATGTTCGTTTTGCTGTATATAATCCTTTAAAAGAAGTTGTGACAAAATATGAAACAAATATCTTCATGATGTGTTGAACACTAATGATTTCCAACCTACGTCATATCGAGTAATGTACACTTCCGTAAACAAAAGCCTTCCCCTAGAAATCGGGAATAATGTTTATTGAATGGAATCGAGAGAATGCGCTTATATATACATTGCCCTTTAGATAGATATATATCAATATTATAAGAGAGTTCCAACATAGTTTGTCTTTTAAAGTGATTTTCTAATAATATATTTTCGTTGTTATTTCATGCACAAACTGATATGTCCACGATTCAATATATATTCAGAAAAATTTAAACATCGTTATGTTTAGCAGTAGTTTATCCCGTGATTCCTGATCATCAATGAAATCATGTCCCTGTGACACGGATATTTTAATAAGCTGGTATCATGCGACTAAACATATCATCCACATGTGAAAATGAAATGATAGAACTGGAGCTTCTATTAGGTGAAAAAGAAAATCCATCACTTAAATTTCCTAAAGCAACCGGTGTAACGTTGAAAATGGGCCCGCGTAAAAATGGACCCAGATCCATTTTCAATATGGGTCATTTTCAACGTTACATCGGATATAATTTTATTAATATAATGTCCGACTAATGGTACATTTGACCTAAACAATTCACTGGTCAACACGGATAAACAAAACAAACTTTCATTACACATTATTAAAGAGTACAATTTATGTGTTGTATATATCGACTTGTCATTTCAATGACGAGGTCAACATTTTTGAGACACAATAATAATATTACGAAAGAAATCGAGTTTATACTAACCCCAGCGACCGGCCACGATGCTGCTCTCAGACTGAAGAAGTAGCAATGTTCCTTATATCCTATCCATCCTGATGGACATGCTACAATGTATACAATCGGGAATGTACGTAGACTAGTAAATGTATCTTTATGTTATATACATTGTACATTTTACTGTCGACCACTTGTTAGAAGAGTCTTGTACTCAAAGTGTTATCGACTCTTAAATAAAGCCATTTATTATTATTATTATATATACCTGATCAGATAACTTATAATGAGAAACATAGAGAGTTATGTTAATGGTTAATGTTAATACTCCCGTATGTTATTCTGTGTGCCACCAGCCACCATCAACGAGAACCCGTCTCAATATATCCTGGCTATTCAACGAGCGATAACCCAACATTAAAGAAAATATAATGATTTATGGACATATATAATAGAAATGATTAATTGTGTTCCAAATACAATACATAAACTTGGGTAATTAATGTGGTCATGTGATGTGGGTCATTAACGAGGTCAAATAACTATGTAATGAGGTCAAATAATTATGTAATAAGGTCAAATAATTATGTGATGAGGTCAAATAGCATAGTTAATGCAGTGGATAAGCATGTCTTCAATAAAACTATTTTTCAATCGATTGGAATTAAATGTAACTATCTAAAATTCAAAGAAGATAATTAGCTCAAGAAACAATCATCATGTAACAAGTGTTACCTTGAATCAATGATATCGATATAAATATCGAAGTCACTAGGCTTCTTATCATATTGGCTGCGTTTGTTGTCGACGACTAGTTTTTTTCTTCTACACCAATATCGTCACTACGGTAGACCAATGTGATTCTAGTTGATAATGGCACCACTTGTAATAAGACACGATAGAAGGACTTATGCCGTTCGTTGACCTGGATTCCAAACATGAACTCCGTTATCTGTTCTTAACGATCAAATGTTTATCTCAGATTGCGTGTGGTTTTACGGATGTCCGAGAAAAAACTATCTCTTGCTTTTAACTGTTTCTCAGGTGCAATAAATAGGCACTGCACACTGATGAAAACCAAATGCACACGTATGCGGTCTGTACCTATAGATCTGGTATTGAACTGTTTGATATTCTGTAAAAATAAAAGATTCTAAAACTCGTTTAACCTATCTCATATAAAAACTGTGAAAGATCCTGTATACATTGTCAGACAATATGTAACACTATTCTGTCCCATGACGAATATTACGACGTCATCGATCTATTCAAAACCTTCTAAAATTGACGTTCCAAGGGAAACAGCTAAATACAGTACAATCTTTTGAATATAAAGTATGTACATGCCATGGATGTTTATCAATTGACGTTATAGTCTGATAACACATACCGAAATACACAAAAGACAATGCCCTTTGGAAGCAACAGTAATTTGTTAAGATGCAGCTTGTTGTAAAAATAACAAAAACAAACAAACAAACAAACAAAAAACCAACAGGTAAACAGTCATAATACAAACTCAATAAAACAATGGCAAAATATGAACAAAGAAAGAGTTTTCTTTATATAGGACCAATAACGTCGGCTGTTTGGGTAAACACTCATTTGCATATATAGTACACAGTTTCGTTTAAAATCCAATGCAACTAATAAAACCAACCTGTCGAGAGGTGTTCATGTTTAAAACAACAAATTACGTAGAAATATTTTGACGAAAAAATCTAAAATATGGTGAGATATTGAAGCTATTTGGTTTATTTGCGACTGCATTGACTTCTACATGATACCATGGGTTATGTCCCCTTATTTGTAGTCGAGTCGTGGGCATGTGAGCGCACAGGTAGAATGGTGTCAGTCTTGGATGAGTGATTTTATCAGACTTGCACTCGGAGACCCGTGCAGTCATGGCCACGTAGGTATCTGTTGTAGCCTACATATATTGTATATGTTACACATTTACTAGTCCGTAATAGTTATTGAATTTGAATCCCTGATAGTATAATTTCAGGTCAATATTATTTTGTAAATAAAAACATCATATTTTATTATATGTATTATTATCATCAACGTCTCAACTCATTTACACATGAAATGTACAATATACATAAAATAGTACGTTCGTCAAACAGAACTAAATGAGCCATTCAGTAATAAATTATTTGAGCCAGGTTAAAACTGAGTATAATTAAACGTTGAATGTATATTAAGACATACAGCTTCATCAAATGAACAATAAATATCATAAAAAATGAATAGAAAATTCATTAAACATAAACTTTAAAACGTGACAAATTGCATTATTATCAATAAGTTAAATATTGTCAGACACATAGTTACCATATCACATATATAATCAATAGATCTATGTACAACGAAGTCAAATAACGTATTGAGAATCTACTTACTTAAATAATTCTGTCTCTTATTTAGGATATTAAAGCAGGTTTTGGACGAGAGTTTACATATTTTACTATTTGACGCCCCGTCCTAGAAGTGTCCTCCGTGACATCTTCCCGCCATTTCCTTACAGAGCCAGCCATAGCAGCTTCTTCAGATCGCTTAAGTCAAGGACGTATATGACATATACGTCCCTGCTTAAGTACAGCACTAATAATGATATTGTCTGAGTTAATTAAGGCAAAATCTAACTCCTCACACTTTTTTCGGAAGTTAAAACACCAATTTTTCAACCTGTAGTTTTCTGTTGCGCTCTGTGCCCATTTATCAACTCTATTGAAAACTCTGGTCTCATTCATGAAGGACATCCTACACCACATGCGCACTACAGCTACCCGCTGCTTAACACTGGATGGTTTCCAGCCAATATCACCAGACACGGCGGAGGATGGTGTATACTTAACAACCCCCATGAAGAACCTTTCCGCTCTATTTTGTACGGAATTTATACAAGAATAGGAGCCGAGTCCCCATATTACCGCTTCATAGCTAATCACTTGCCAAATCTGTGTCTCGTACAACTTGGAAAAAGAAGCATATGGTAGCCCGCTGACTGCTTTAGACTTCGCCATGAGGAGACGTAATATTCATGACGCTAATTTAGCTACCGTCTTAGCCATTTCGTTGAAGTCAAGGTGTTCGGTAAACAGTAAACCTAATAAATCGTACTTGTCACAAAACGTGGCTGGTCCTGAACAGAGGCATATATTTTGGATTTTTTATCTACAAAACGATATATCAATAATTTTCTGAAATGCCGCTATGTAGTCTATAGTAAAAATTTGTTCATCTGGAGCAAGAAATCTGCGCATGCGCAACGCGGTATGTCCTCAATAGCTGCATATGATACCAATATGTCAATATATACATAATCAAAACTTAAATTCAATAAAACCAGAAATTTGAACAATAAAAATATTTACACTCCGGAGGAATAAACATTAATAAACTTTGCAGTATAAAGTTTAGCGAGTGATTTGAAATAATTCAATATGGATGAGTACGCGTGCCACATCCTTCCCCTTCACCCATCTCCCTCCAAACTTGATTCCGTCTATTTCGATCTTATTCAGTCGCCTCCTATGTCTTAAAATTAGGCCCCCTAGCACCACTAAAACATGGAAGGACGAAACAGCTGTTTGATATGGTTTAATCCGTCTGATTCTATTGCGTCTAAAACTTCTAACCTTGTATTGACTAATCACTTGTGTGTCTATTATACATGGGTTTTTTTATCAGTGGATGCAGTCAACAGATGAGGCATTTCTTGTTGATGATATTGTTAATAATAAAAAGATACTGGTTCTTTGGTATTGATCGACTTTCGAAACAAAGGATGAATAACTGTCCTGTTTAAAAATATTCGACCTCTGAACGTTAAACACGTGTTGATCTATATTGGACATTGCTAGTTTTTTTATTAAGTGTTATTCATTAAGCTTCTATTTATAGAAATGGGTATGATAGTCCTGCTATATACCAAAGTGCGGTAGTGGTATATTTGATGCTTGCGAAGATAAGTTAGTACTACTTAGATGTCGATAGATGAAAACTACGAGTCGTCAATGATTCAAGGGGAAATACAAAATGAATTTCGGTTGTGAAACCTATTTGTTGCAATGAGTCCTAAAAATAGGAAATTGCTTTGTAAATTGAGAACTTCCAACATGCCCTTGCCAGTAGGAACTGGTTGGTGGACAGGTATTAGAAGAGAGGACAGGCTATGTCCCCTTTGTAACAATGGCGTAGGTGATAAATATCATTATTTTTGTGTGACTATCCAGCAATACAAACTAATAGGAAAAAAGTCATACCTAATTATTATACTATTCACCCTAATTGACAAAGTTCAAAGGGTCACTGACTATATGTAATGTAAACAGGCTCAGAAGACTTGTTGTTTTTTGCTTGCTCTTGAGGGGATCTTAAAGGCGATATAATAATCTGGTTGTATCGGCTTGGATGATCTCCCCTTGATTAGCCAAGATCAGCCTATCAGATGAGTCTGTAGTATCCCGTCTGTAAGCTTATATTTAGCTGCACCGTTGTACTCCTGTCATGTAACGAATTGTGACCTCTTGTTTCACACTTCAGTGTGACTGAGCGAAATAAAATCTCTCAAAAAAAAACACCATCTAACTGTGCGATATAAGTTGAATGTATGTGTTGCTTGTTATCATACCTGGTGGATTTATTGATTTCAAAGTATTGTAAACGATTTATTGACGATGACACAGAATACATTTGACCTCCCGAAATACCAGATAATGTTTTTGTACTTTTTTTTAAAAATGATCTTTGTGTAAATCTGTTCTGACTTAAAATCCTGTGGAACTAACAAAGTGGGAGTTTTACAGAACTAGTATATTGACGAAACAGGTCGGATATAATCAGACAAATGAGCAGGTATGTCCCTGGTGGTTGATGATCGACGAGAACTTGAATTTTGATGTTATCTCTTAGAAATACGAGGAAACAGAAACTCAAGAAGCGAACTTCATGATAACGGATGTAATTAACAAAGTACGTGTATCGTTCGTCTGTTTGTTACCAGTACTTCAATCCGTTTCACAAGTTCTGCATAGAACCCCCCCCTCTCTCTCTCCCTGAAATAAAACTTTAAAATAACGCTGTTCTGTAGATTGTTTTCAATTTTGACAGTTTGCGCTCTGTATTATTGCTGATAATCATGATCGTACTGGACGCGGCACGAAGTCAATTATACCGATATTCGTGTTTATACCTCTGTCGTGTTTCTCTACCCTTAGTTAATATACCGATCTTATCAAATTTACTTCGTTTACAAAACTTCCCGCCCTTATCCCCAGGCTTCGTCTTGTGACTAGCAAACAAACCTCCAAAACGGCAAAATACAATGTAATCTTCCAAACCAGATACATATAGCAAGTTACATAAAGGAGACGATGGCTGGGCTCAGATAAGATTGACGCCACAGAAGGGTTGGTCTACGTTATTTAACCATTTTAATAAATTTGCTCTATTTCACAAAGAGTGTTAAATTTCATGGGGCGGAGACTCGCAGTTTATACGAAATAGTTTCCTCTTCACTGTAGGATGCTTCAGACCAAACTGGGACACATTCATGATAATCCTAATAAAAAGGAAAGAATTTGAAGAATTTGCTCTATTTCTCCTAATGAGCGCCACCCTCTGGCTAAAAGAATGGAATGTGTGTGTCGGTCCCTAGGTTCCTACAAAACTGAGTTCTCTGTGCTATAGGATATTTCATACCGACTTGAGACAGAATCCTCACATTTCTACAAATGAAGAAGGATTTTAAAGAAATCCCTTTACTTCCCCTATTGGTCAGCTTCCCTCCTTTTAGGGGTTAACTGTTTCTCCTGTGCCAGAGATGCTTCACACTACAGGAGTAGTATTGAAAAAAAATCTTTATTGCCCTATTTGGCCCCTTTAATTCTTGCTCTGGGGACGGACCGAGATCCATGGATAATGCAGAACCGATGTTACTACACTCAAGGATAGTTCGAGCCATATATGAGCACAATTCAATCATCCATTCATTCAAGAATTTGCTATATTTCTCTTTTTGGGCACCACCCACCCCAGGGGGCCGAGACTCACTCTTTACACAATATAGAGTCCCCTTCACCGCAAGAAGCTGCAGAATTTGTAAGTAGAGGAGGAATATGATTAAAGAATTGACTTTCTTTCCCCTAATGGGCACAAACCCTCGATCAGCATGCACCTCTAAATACAATTTTAAGGAATTAAATCGATTTTTACTACTAGGCATCGCCCCTCCTGTCCCATGAGGCGAGATCGATCATTTATACAAAAAACTAATCCCCGTCACCCAAGGATGCTTCAGACCAAATTTGGGCTAGATCAAATAATTCCTACAGGAAAAGTAGGATTCTGAAAGCGAACTTTAGAAAACAAATTGACGGACGGACGACGTCGCGGTATGTTATAAGCCTTCCATGCCAAGTGAGATATAAACAGACGAGTTAAGAATATTATCAATTCTAAGTTAAACACTTTATATAACGGACATTTGAAGTTACAATTCTAGAATGACATCGTAGTATAAAGCGTGAAGTACAGACCACAAGGTATTAAGCTATTTAAATATTTACGATAAACTACAAAATAACTTTCCATTGTATCCCATATCGAGTGCTCTTCTCTAATTGGCCGAAGTGCCATAAGGTTTTCCAGAGTATAAAGCTCATAGCATTTATATATAGTTTTTTGACCCGAGCTTTTATTGTGTATCACTGAACGATACAAAGGCAGCTGTACAACCTGTATATTTTACTGTAAGAAAACGCCTGAATCTCATAAATTGGGTTTAGATTATCATGTTTGCTCACACACCGGAAAAAGTCGTTGCATTGTTATATCATTTAACATGTTTAAATATACTTATCATTGCAAATTGATGAATGTGGCAATTTTATTATTTTTGACTTTAGACTGATTCCAAACAAAAAGTATACCCTTGCATGTATATATGGTCCGACTATTGACTCCCATTTCCACTGTCTGAAAGGAAATATTGACTTATTTGATAACGACTCATTATTACTGGATATTCTAATTGTATAATCCCTTGTTCCTGATCAAGCGTAAAGCGGAGATATGGACAGAAGTCCAATTTTCATATTTGGTGATATGTTTGAAGCCAACCGTTTGAGGTGGAAAAACACCCACCATCCTCCCTTTGGTGTTTTTGTTATATGGATTTCATGAAGTCGTCTGTGTGGGTGTACACTCATTTGCATACATGGTACTGTTTCACTTAAAATTTAATGCAAAACTAATAACACCAAACCTACCGAGAGGTGTTTTGTTTATAATAAGCATTTCGTTATTTTACGTAGCAGTATTTTTACGAAAATACTTATATATGATGAGATTTTGAAGCTGTTGGGTACTGGTGTAGCGGATCTGTTTTGAATACGTTCAATATACGTTATATATACCGTGATACACAAAGGATTTCAGGTAAAAATATTAAATAAAGTTAGATAAACGAAGGTGAGGACCTAAATTTAATTTCACAATTTACAAAATGTAATACCCGACATTACTTCACTGTCTGATTTCGTTAGTTTTCTTAGAGTATTGGTGTATTTTGAAGTGAATAGATCTGAAACACCGCGTTTAATTTTTCTCCTGTTGTATATATAGAATACAAAAGCGAGATTAGGGTCACGCCTTCATGAAGAAGTCAAGTGTGACTTTGCAGGCAAGCGTCGGCTGTCACGTGAACAAAGCTCCCGAAAATAGTGTTCGCCTTATCCCCTTTCCTAGTCGCTCTTATGAATGTGGAGACGGCATGTCCGTTACGGTCTTCTCATGAGATGGCTTAGAGTGGTAGACAGACCCTTCTCCGAAGTTGTTAAGAGTTCTCTCTATTCCTGTTACGGTGATCTCGGCTGTTTTCCCCCGAGGTTGTCCCACCACCGGATATCTGCTTCTCTAACCTCTGAATAGCAGCAGGTAACTGGTTGACCATAGATCGCAAGTCCTCCTTCTCCTCCCCCTCAACAGCCGAGTTGATGGTTGCAATCACCTTTGATGGTTATTCACAGTCGGTAGATATCTATCCCGTCAAGCATTTCGGCGTACACTAAGCCATCAACGATACATGGGCGCCAATGTAATAGTTGCCATAACCTCATCAAAACAACTCCTGAGTTCTTTTTCTTCACAGTTTTATTAATACAATAAAAAAACCCCTGTAACATGAAATATTACTACAATACATGCACAATCATACGATAAGATAACCATATAATATAACCATATATCCAGATCACTCTGACCGTAGTCAGTATACATATATATTAATTACAAATGTAAAATCAATCTATAAATTATATAGAAATAACAGTTGGTATCCAATTATACTACATACATGTATATAAAAATACCCACCTCTTCAGTGTGAAGAGGGTTTTCTCAGAACTAAGTCCGCCGAGCCCTCAGACTGACTCGTCCAGTAAACACTATAAATAAAACAATACACACAATAAAAACTATGCTTCTTCGGATTCACCTGTCTATTAAATCGACCACGCCCGATATTTGAATTAACACACTTCCAAAATATCAACTTTACTTTTGAATAAAATTTGCCTTTAATCAAATGCATTATTAAATAGATACCTGATTAGATTACGCTAATATTCTACACATAGTACTTACATTTACAATTCTAGGCTCTAGTGCCACTACCTCTCATGGTCGCTAGGCTGGCTATTATCATACTGCGACGATGATGAAACTCTGAGCGTTCTGTCCAAAAGTGGCCAGTGCGCGAGGTAAAACTCCCCAACATTCAACACTTGATTACTAGACGTGGACAAACAGGTTTACTACACATTACATCACATCCGCTCAGTATCTCACTCACATTCTCACGTGCTATTTCCGCGCGCGCGCGCTAAAAGTTTTGCCGCAATGCGCCACGTACAATATTTACAGTAGGCTGGTTTCCGTTTCATACAAACGCATATAGCTAAAATACTACGAATATGTTAAAAGCAATATAGCCAAATAATGACACTACTACATTAGAATGATATGCACACTTAAATTCACATTTCAAACAACCATTGATTTAATTGTTTCATATTTAGATATTTCCTTTCGAAACAAAATAGAAACATACCTTTTTTATGCAGGACAGGTGTTGATATATCGATATCTTGCTATCTTTAATAAAATTAACCAACAAATCATGTTATATCTCATTTTTTTTAAAAATCGAAAACAATTTGTTGCGAATGAATCTGTTACTACAGTATACACAGAACAATCTTCCAACATTATTAATGAATTATGGGACTGTTTGACTAAAAAGCTGACAAATAAATACGGTTCTTTAATTACTGTGTTATATACAACTCTGAAGGCGTCGTATTCAGCCACATTAAAAACTCAAAGGCAGAACTATATCCAATATATATATTTAAACGCGAGCTTTTTTCCCCAATTAATTATCTGAGGCTTCAAGTTAGCTTGTGATCACAGTGAATCATTGTCCTCGGGTATTGGACTTTCTCAGTATATTAATGTTCAACGAGAATTTATCAAATTTTTTTTTAAATTGAATATCATACGAGTCTTAATTTTCATTCTGTAATTTCATTATTTGAATAAGTCATACTTTGTTGCAGAAGAACCTCTGCCACGAAATGTATCATTCAGAGAGCTCGTTTTCGATAGGCGTAACAATAAATCGGCGCCAAATATTTTAATTGTGTATTAATTAGGAAATACCAGCAAGTATAGTGTGGTCAAAAAAAAAGTATATATAATAGTATCAAATATATTTATTTAGAACTTTGGGTCATAATAGCACTAGTTTGTGCTTTTTTAGGCTTGAAGGCAATATACGAAACATTTTGATTATTTTTGCAAGCAGATACGTCAAACGTAAGAGTTATTCCCCTTCAAGGAACTCTCATGGATTGGAAGCAACATTAAAAAATGGAGGCTGTGCCTCGAATGCCTATGTTATCGTTTGAGTTGAAACAAAGTCCAGAATATGTTGATTTCGGACCAGTTTTGAAGCAGGTGAGGAAATTAAGAGTTAAATCTTTAATCTGAAGTGAACATTAATCGGCATTCCATCTTCGATAGCTTCTACTCACTTAAAACAACTACTGTGTTGTGAGGTTGTCATTCTTCATTTGACATCAAACGCAAAAATAGAAAACAAATTTTACTGGCGAACGACAGTTGATTAAAAAGACATTCAATTTCTATCAAAAGAAGAATTCAGATGAACGTTTTGATTTCAAGTCTCATTTAACATTAAGTGTGTACAATGTTATCGATGGATTTATTTTGCTTCATGACTCATTATCACACTCTTAAATTCGGCCGCTAACCGGTGTACCTAATGAGTGTCCTGGGGGTCCGGAATTTTCATTTTTCACAACAGCATACGAGGGCACTTCCTACAAGAAAGTTTCCAAATATAAATGCAAAATTATAATCATTAACATCAATTCTGGGCCACTTCAGTTAGATCAGTATTTAACATGTGATTTTGTTGTTCTATCAATAACAATATATAATACTCATTGTGAAATAGCCTGAATATGTACACTGTAAAATAACAAATAAAAACCTCTTGTTTTCTCTTCAGTACATCCGAGATAATTATGGAGAAGACCCTGCTCAATACAATAAGGCGTGTAATGATTTGGAACAACTCCGACAGGTATGAATACACACCAGTAAAATAATGTAAATATAAGGACACATTAACGTAATGACACATGGTTCATAAAGGTTGCAAACTTATTCTCACCGAGTACTAATTCTCACCGAAGGGTTGCTAATACATATGTTTTGTTGGTAAGATTTTGATATTTGTGCAATGCTTGTAGAATTTTCAGAAAAGAAAAACTACACTAATTATTTTCACTAATTGAAATTTATATGTATTTTTATAAACTTCAAATGTAAATAACTTCTTAAATAAAATTATTCAAACTATATTTAGATATTTCTGAATGTTGGCATCTCACTAAAAAAAATTGAAAAGATTAACATTCATGAAATTATGTTGATTAACAAATTTAGTTGATAGAAAAGTTTGTTTGAAAGTTTTTCAGTGAAATGCTGTACTTCTTTTTCACGAAACGTTCTTGTGTACAATACTCTGAAATGTCAAGTCATAAAGTGGTATCTCTACAATTTATGTAATTTGTCTAGTATAGTACCGCATGGATAAATATAGGTCCAGGACTCAAATACGGAGTCCCAAATTATCAATTACAAGTTTAAAATTGTACAGTCTTTTCAGTGTTACAAAATTTTGGAAATAATTTTTCAGAACAGTGCATGAAGCATTCAGCTTTTGAATGCAATGGTTCTAAAGATGCAGGTTTATGAACATTATGGGGAAGTTTTCATGGCTGCCATAGTGATCTCATTGTGAATTTTTCTATTTCTTTCTTTGACATGAAGCTGGATGTATTTGATGCTCATTAGTTTGCCTGTTGGTTCCGTTTGTGTATTCCTTGTTTTCATTTGAGAACATGACACTTACTTACTTTTTTTTTTTTTTTGTAATTATCTTTTTATTTCCATTTTAATGTACAATACACATCATCATCATCATCATCACCACCACCACCACCACCGCCACCGCTGCCGCCGCCACCACCACCACCATCATCATCATCATCATTATACCCTCATCATCATCACAATCATAATTCTCATTCACTACATCACTATCCACACCATTTCACACCTCAAAAAATTCATTAATCTACACTTACTTACTTCGATTGATGAAGGTTTACATGGCAGGTGTTGTCAATGAAGCAGAAGACGCTTACTCTTCTGAAACACCTTGTCTTATTCTTGTACATTTTCAGGAGACTCAGTGTAAATCTTTCTCTTGTTCATAAATTTGGCTAGTCTGATGGAATTTGAGTTTGAATTATGATTATGTTGCCATGTTGGTATTTCCTGGATGTTTTATTTTTTATTTATAGAAATCTAGAATTGTAATGAAATAGTATCAATGTATTTAAAGGTCACCAGCAACAACATTTTGAAGGTCTCTAGATTTTGAACTAGATAACACCTGGGTCATACCCTGGATCAATTTTCATCTCTTGATACAGGTGTAGTTGAGTGTGTTCGACTACAGATGAGTTTGATTACATGTCCACACTTTGGCTTTTTCCAATAGCTTTCAGGAATCTTCAGCAACCAAAATCTGTGACGATTATAATTGGTCTTATTTCAGCAGTGATGGTACACTGTGTTGTGTAGGATTATCATAAACCTAATGAAAAGTCATAAATCTTTATACAAACTTCTTAAATACAAACGGATATTTAAAAAAAAATGTGAAACCTAACACAGCTGAGATGAACTAAAAGTAACTAAACAATTGGATGCACTCTTCAGTATCTGTCCAACATGTTTAATAGAAGACTCATATCCATTTTAGCATTTGCTTACATTCCTTTCTTGTCAAACATATACCTGGGTGAATATTGTGACAGGATCACCATCTGGTCTCCAGACATGCTATTTACCTGTTTATTTCCATACAGCTGAAGTTAAACAGACTTTGACAATGGATATTGTGCATAGAACATAATGAGATAAAATTGATTATTTCATCTCAAAATTCTTCCAAATACACATTAACATATATCATTATTATAGTGCATTATAAAAAGTTATACATTGATCATTGGTTGCATTTATATCATCTTTGATATAATATAAACTTTATTTATTTTGCAACAATTGCAAAACAAGTTATGTCAACTTATGCTAATTACTCTTGTTGGCCTGAATGTAAGTGCGTGAGGGGTTTTATTGTGGGAGGAAACAGAGTACCTGTGGAAAACCCACGTGGTTGGGCAGGTGACCCCTTACCCTTTCACCTCCGTTCCGGGAATCGAACCTCGGTTGGCTAGGTGAAAGGCGAGTGCGTTACCACTGCACCACCCGACCATCCTTGATACTTCAGGGATTACAATCACTTTCGCTCTCTCCACCCCTGGAACATGTCATGGCAAAGTTGTATGCTAAAGTAGTAATATATTTATGTAACACAGTATTTGCCAGCTAGCATGTATAAGAAAAGTGAAACATATAGTAAAATAGCACAAAATATCACATGTTTGGATAAAAACAATACTGGCAGTAAATTAGTGAGCTAAGGGGTTTTTGGCACAAAAAAAATCACTAATTATTTTGATATATCTTAATAGAATGTGAAACGAGAGTTCATTCCTTTATGTAATACTGGTAAAATTAGCCATCTTGCTGTCTTATATAGGTGAATTCACACAGTCCAATTAACTAATTAGTGTCATGTCACAACTACTAATCCTCTCCAACCAGCAGGTTCCCTGGTAAAGGGTATATACTTAGGTATAGCCCAGGGCATTTGGGATTTAACAGGAATGAACAATCAGATGAATATTGCAATAAACACATTATGTTTCAATTAAAACAGTTTTTATTTTGAAAAAGTGAAAAGACGGTTCCAATCATTGACGTAATAGATGAAAATTGAAAAATGAAACAAAAATATTGAATATTTTCCGCTTCTTGAAAGTTGTCACTTATTTGTATATATATATATGTGCAGTCAATAAATAGAAGTTAAAATAGTATTTGCGATCGTTGGCCAAGCCAAGATACAATTCATGACCTGAGCCATCATTACAAAACATTGTTCAGCTACTTTGAAATTGGCTCAAATTTTTATGGTCTAATAACAAACTTTACTTCTTAGTTAATTTATGGTGCTTGACATGGTTATTAAATCAAGTATAGCTGATTTAATGTACACAGCCTTCATAAATGTAATGATAATGATTGACCAATGAGAATCCTTGGTTTTCAAAAGGGAAATAACTCTTTACTTTTTTAACTTCCTTGGGTGATTACAGTTGAAATATTGGTACATCATGCATTGATACACTGATCACTTTCTTAAGACATAATCTAATAATCTTTCAGGAAAATAAAATTTCTTTTTTGTTACCGGTGACATTTAACATGCAAAGCTTGAAATCTGATTAAATCAAATTTACATGACTTTAAATAGTTTTTTTTATGAAAAAAAAATAGGGACATGTAACCTGTTACCTTGATAAATATAATATACTGCTTGGCATAAGTGATCTTATCATTAGCTAAGTGATGCTGGATGAGACAAGTAAGTCAGAGGTCTGATCCCTAGAAGCAGCAAAATAAATAATGACCTGTCTGTTACAGAAAGAAAAAAGAAAGCACATTTCTGGGGGAAAAGGTCATGATTTTATGAAGATATAAACATTAATGAAAAAATTTGTTTGTTAAAATGACTTAAAATGCTTTTATACGAGTGATTATTGTAGGATTTTTTAAGGTGAGTCAAGAACACAAGGAATCAAATATCTGAGTCCAAAGGTCACTCTATTATCTGTATATGTATGATCAATGAAGTAATAGCAACAGACAGACAAGTGAATTGTCAAATTTTCGAGGCAACCTGCCCCTTTATCAAGACACAAATATTACATAAACTACATCATTTTTAGAACATAAAACCAAATACAGAGTTATAAATCTAAATCAAGAGCGGTGGTGTAGATTTAGGTATCTCGATAATCTCTTGGGCCGATGGACGCCAAATTCCCTTAATAGCAGACAAAAAACCATCCCAAGTTGTTGTATGTAAGATGGTGATTAAAATATTAAAAATGTTTTACATCAATCTTGGTATGTTTTGCACTCTAGACACTAAATGTATATGTGATTGCAACGAAAACAATTGCACTTTACACACCAAGGAAAGTAGTCTACCGTTACATCTTGGCCACATTCTAAATGAGGAATTATTTGATATATCTTACTTTGCAGAGTGCTGTTCATGTTTCACATGACTTTATGGGATGTAGCACCCTGAAGAAATACTATGCGCAGTTGCAGTTTTTACAGGGACGGTTCCCCATGGGGGAGGCTGGAGAAGCAGCAATACCATTTACATGGTAAAAACATGTACAACATAATCTTCTGTCTTTTATTACAAACTTTGATCAAAGAGATATTATCCTACATGTTTTTCATGGGACAAAATGTAAGAAGGATGTTAAAGCAATATTGTGGATATAAAAATCTGTATTTTGTTGATAATTAAATGGAAACAGTTCTCAAAGCTCAAAGAAATACCACAAAATTAGCTAATAAGAAGTTGTCCAGTATAACAGTATACCTAGCTTTATGTAGGAGATCTGTATTTTCAGGGAGGACATTCACCTTGGCAGAGAGATTACGATTGGTGATGCCAAGTTTGAGCAGGCTTGTGTCTTGTACAACATTGGAGCTCTTCACTCCATCCTGGGAACCATGGAAACCAGACAGAGTGCCGATGTAAGTCTCAAAATTTAGGGATTGAATATTGATGAGAGAGTATTAACCCTACTATTGAAACCATATATTGTTTATGCTGAAAGTATCTTATAGGTTTTTAAACTATAACATAAATGAAGTTAGAAACATATATTTGATTTTGCAATGAATCAAAGTTACCACTTTATTAAAATGTGAAATAAAAAGAGCAATTATCACTAGAGAAATGTGATGACTCAACTTCAAAATTGAAATAAGTCACTGTGATTAGAATAATTTGTTTGGTATCTTTGTTATATGGAAGAACTATCACAATTTTAAACTGTAAACATGTATACATGCATGTAGTATGCAACTGTGTATTTATTTAACTATGATATGGTAATAAAGTGGAACTTTTCACTATTTTTGCATCATTTAAAAAAAGATTACATTTTCATGAGTGGGCTGGAGTTCTTACAGTTGTAAAACTCCACTTGGTGATAATAATCCTGTAATTTGAATAAGTTTTACTGAAATTAGTAGATACCATTTATAATGGTACATACTACCTTAACTATAGTCCTTTAATCATTTTTGAGTGAAATTCATTCAACTATACTGGCAGATTTTTTATTTTTTATTTTTAGGGAATGAAGGTGTCATGCACTCACTTCCAGTGTGCCTCATGGGCATTTGAATATCTGCGAGACCACTTCGGCTGTTCTTTGATGAGTGCGGATATGTCACATGACCTTTTGACCTTCCAAATGAATCTTATGCTGGTATGTGAACAGAATGCATTTATCATAAAATATCCACTGTGTAAACTTTCAAATCTGTTCAGTGAAAGTTACAAAGTACAGTTGATATGAATATTTTATGCAGATCAGAATTTAGTAAGAGCAATGTCATTATGTGATAGGTAATAATTTCAGATGAATATTTTCTGTTTGACTAAGAATAAAATTTTCTATTTTAGTCAGTTTATGTCTTAGCATCACTACAAATGCTGTATATTGAATTTATTACTGAAAGATATATTTTCTAGCAAAACATGTATGTGTATTCCAAAAAATTAATGGTAAGTACAGTAACTGAGTTTGTATGTAATGCAAACTCTGCTCAGTAATTGAGATATGTGATTAGATCTCTTCATGGAGAAGTTGGCATTTCTCTGGAAGCTGAGATCATGGACCATCTTGTGCCGGTTGTGGTTGTGTCCTTGGGCAAGACACTATTCCTAAATTGTTCTTGATAACATGCAACAGAACTCTGGCATGATGTTCAGTACTGTAGCCACCAAGTATTACAAGGAAACCTTGTGTCAAATTATCCTGGCTGTTCATTGGTCAATGAACTCAGCATAAAGAGAAGAGAAGATGATATAGGAAAGATGTATCAGTTATATTAGATTTTACAAAAGACACACAAGTGAATAGTACCTTCTATTACATGTTTAGAATTAAACTGCACCACACAACTGTTTCGTCCATCTAACACTCGTCAAAGATAATAAGGGTTCTAAATTTTCAAACCTAAGAGGTGATTGCAGAAAAGGGAAATCTGTTAATTTAAAAAGAATGTCAAGTTATCATGTATATTAAACAGTCAATCAGTAGGTTTGAAGATATACTGTACAATAAGTATCGTGTATATTTTGGAAGAAACAATGTGTTAAGTAAAATATCATATTTATCTGAATTTTTTTTGTTGTACTCATTGAAATATCACATAAATATGTTGTCCTTAAAGGCACAAGCCCAGGAGTGTATTCTAGAGAAATCAATGATAGACAGTCGGAAATGTTCTATCACTGCTAAAGTAGCCATACAAATCGTGGAATTCTACCGCACAGCATACCGTAATCTGGAGGCTTGCTATAGCGATGGACTTATCAGCTCAAGGAGGAATAAGGTAACTTTGTTAAATATCTTAAGGTTTGTCAAAAACATGAAGTTTGGACTCTGATTACCGTATTGGATCCAATAAGTGCCCAGGGCGCTTAAAAATTGCAATTAAGGGGGTGCTTGTTAGAGACCGTCTTAGATGTAAAAGAAACACATTCAGTACTAAAAAATCTATGATACGGTACATGTATTTATAAAATCACTGTTTTTTACTTGCAATAAAACCATCTTAGATAGAAAAAGTTGTTTGCGTTTTTCTGGAGTACTTCTCCTTATAAACCAACTTAAACAATTCTTGATCGTGACTAACAGGTAAGTAAATCTATACTTTTAGGTACCTGAAGGGGGGAGGGGGTGCTTATAAGGACATTGGTGCTTATTGGGTCATATAGAGTACTTCAAAGTCATATAATTTAAATGGCTTTTGATAAAGATGTAATTTCACTGACACTTAATTTTGCGAATGAATATCATGTTATGAATGAAATCCTCTAGTGTTTTGAAAAAATATGTATTCAAAATGATTTATTATTTCATGGACTTGAGGGAATTTGTGGATTAAGCTTACCAATGAAATGACAAAAATAAGACCTCATGAAAATGATTGATTTTACGATAAAGTAATGGATAATGGATGCTTGTTATCTTTTACTGTGCATGTCAAGGTTGAACTGGGAAGGATTTGGTTTTTAGTGCTACAGTGGTTTAATCTTAAAAATGTTATATATATAAAGTGGTGTGATACAATGTTATACACAAATTCATGTATTATTGTAGGAATGGAAGAAAAGGATGGACATCAAAATTTTATTTTATCAGTGCATAACTCACTACTACATGGGGCGCCAGGCCGAGGAACAACAAAAGGCCGGTGAAAATCTGGCTTACTACAGTGCCTCGCGAGATAAACTGAATGAATGCATGAAGATGGCTAAGGTATCTGTTTAATGTGTATGTGAAACTGGAAAAATGGTTATTGTAGATAAGTAGGAGAAACTGGCATATCAGGTTTATCTTTGTTAAGAAGATAAAACTTACGTGTACCTAACAGATGTTGCATGAAGGTTTTATTGAAAGACTTTGAATGAATTTTAAATCTTGAATCTGAATTCTTGTCAATTCAGATGTTTTAATTTCAAAATGGAATAAACAAAGTAGAATGAATGGAGTTGAGAGTTTCATTTAATCAAATCTGTTCAACTCTATTAATATTAGCAGTAGATTGTTATTAAATATGATAATAAAATTAAACTTTACCCTTATTTTTTAATCTGATTTATGTTCAGGTGTTTTGAGGAAAAATGAGTACTAACCCTGATCATTTTGCTTTCAGAATGAAGGTCAGGATATACAAGAATCTCTTAGGTTCACCAACGATATTGTTACTGCCAAGTAAGTGATTGATATTAGATAGATATCATGGAGTGACTGGTAAATATGAGGACTGACTGTTAATTTCAGAGGCTGATTGATAAATGTCAGGAAGTGACAGATAAATATTGGGAGCTGACAGATATATATCAAGAGATGGCAGATAAATATCAGGAAGTGACAGATCTCAGGGAGTGACAGATAAATATCAGGGAGTGACAGATAGATCTCAGGGAGTGACTGATAGATCTCAGGGAGTGACAGATAGATCTCAGAAAGTGACAGATAAATATTGGGAGCTGACAGATATATATCAAGAGATGGCAGATAAATATCAGGAAGTGACAGATCTCAGGGAGTGACAGATAAATATCAGGGAGTGACAGATAGATCTCAGGGAGTGACTGATAGATCTCAGGGAGTGACAGATAGATCTCAGAAAGTGACAGATAAATATCAGGGAGTGACTGATAGATCTCAGGGGGTGACAGATAGATCTCAGAAAGTGACAGATAAATATCAGGGAGTGACAGATAGATCTGAGGGAGTGACAGATAGATATCGGGGAGTGACAGATAAATATCAGGGAGTGACAGATAGATCTCAGGGAGTGACAGATAAATATCAGGGAGTGACAGATAAATATCAGGGAGTGACAGATAGATCTCAGAGAGTGACAGATAGATATCGCGGAGTGACAGATAAATATCAGGGAGTGGCAGATAGATATCGGGGAGTGACAGATAGATATCAGGGAGTGACAGATAGATCTCAGGGAGTGACAGATAAATATCAGGGAGTGACAGATAGACATCGGGGAGTGACAGATAAATATCAGGGAGTGACAGATAGATCTCGGGGAGTGACAGATAGATATCGGGGAGTGACAGATAGATATCAGGGAGTGACAGATAGATCTCAGGGAGTGACAGATAAATATCAGGGAGTGACAGATAGATCTCAGAGAGTGACAGATATCGGGAAGTGACAGATAGATATCAGGGAGTGACAGATAGATATCATGGAGTGACAGATAGATCTCAGGGAGTGACAGATAGATCTCAGGGAGTGACAGATAGATATCGGGGAGTGACAGATAAATATCAGGGAGTGACAGATAGATCTCGGGGAGTGACAGATAGATCTCAGGGAGTGACAGATAGATATCGGGGAGTGACAGATAGATCTCGGTGAGTGACAGATAGATATCGGGGAGTGACAGATAGATCTCAGGGAGTGATAGATAGATAGATATCGGGGAGTGACAGATAGATATCGGGGAGTGACAGATAAATATCAGGGAGTGACAGATAGATCTCAGGGAGTGACAGATAAATATCAGGGAGTGACAGATAAATATCAGGGAGTGACAGATAGATCTCAGAGAGTGACAGATAGATATCGCGGAGTGACAGATAAATATCAGGGAGTGGCAGATAGATCTCAGGGAGTGACAGATAGATATTGAGGAGGGACAGATAAATATCAAGGTGTGGAAAAATTGAAAACTTAACATTATATTATATATTGAAGAAATCTAACATTTTTATGGTTGATTTATTTGTTGTAGATTTACGCAGTCTAAAAAAGATAATGACTTTGTATATCATGACAAAGTGCCAGCAATGGATACTCTGCCAGAAGTCAAAGGTCAGTGTGCATAATTAAATCTGAAAATTAATTTATATATGGAGATGTTGGAGTATTTATTGGAATTCTGTTTGGATTTCATTGATTGTCTCCACTAAACAGGAATGAAGAAAAAATTTTCCTGTCAGACTTTGTAAACTTTGAATGGTATTAAGAGAATATATTATTTTGTTCAATGCCTCTCCCAGTGACTTACTCTTCTGATTGTCTGCCTGTTGATATAAAGAAAAAAATCTCTATAATGGTGTAGGTAGGTGGCTAAAAATATACATTGTACCAGGATTACAGGAGATTTAATATGTTTTTATCTTACATTTCTGAAGTATGCATTATGAAGTATGTATTTACATGTAACTGACAGGTGCATCATTAGTGAAGGGAATTCCCTTTAATCCTAATGATCCTGAGGTGTCCGGACCAGACATTTTCCAGAAGTTGGTACCAATGAAGGCTCATGAGGCATCCTCTCTGTACAGGTTTGTGTGTCTATTTTGATGCTATATTTTGTGATGATAGAAGTGTCTGATTAAGAAATAGAAATGTGTTTTATTAGCTAACTGGATACAGTTTTTAATCATTGTGTCATTGAAAATCAGTGTGGTTTCCATTATGATAAGTAAAATGTAGTTTCATTGATGCTTGGTATTGTTTCTCTGAGATAATTGTGGTAATAGTTATCCATGTAGAAGTTTACATGTTAACATTGATTTATTGATTTCTAATCACAATCAAATACTTTCTGTTGTAGTGAGGAGAAAGCAAGACTTCTTAGAAAAGTGGGCGGGGATATTGAGGCAAAGAATGAGCAGCTGATGTAAGACTCCTTAACATTCCTACTATGAAAATCCCATTAAAATTTTGGTAATGGCGTAACAACACAGTATCAGGACAGCATATCTCAAGTGGTTTTAGTACCTGGTCGTTGGTCTTTTTAGTCTTAATCACTTTAAAATTATTAATGTTTCCCCGTCACTCTCACAATTATATTGAACTTTGAGATCCTATATATGTATTGCTCTCAGTGCTAAAATGTTGTGGAATCTTGTTTTAAGTACCATGTATCTCATGCGTTAAAATTGTTTGTATAAAATCCAGCTGGACAAATAATTATGGTTAAGTCTTACTACATAATTAATTATGTTTATATTCCACACAAGGATAAAGTTGATGGAAATACAGGCTTAGGAAACCATTATGTATAGTTAACTGATGTAGGGCTTCAAATAGTTTCTATTATTTCATGTTTTTATATCAGGGGAATTAACATGTATGAATAAATAAGTGGGGAGAACCCCTAAGAACCAACATCCATTATGATGTAGATAAGGAAGAGTCCATTTTCTAGGTCCCAGTGGATACCAAAGGTATGCAGGGCGCTCTTCAAATCGATCAAACAAATCAAAGTAGAAGAAAGAGCAGCAGCTGTTGTGCTCTTTCGTCTACTTTGAAATACATTTTTTGTTAGGTTCCTGGTTTTAAACTTTGCTGGATGTGTAGTGCTATCAGTACTAGAATGCTCCTGGTGTTGAGTTTGTGATTTGGTTGTAATTACTGCATATATTAAGTTGTAAAGTTGTTTATATAAAGTATAACTATTGTTGACATGCAAATTTGTTGTCTTCAGCCAGTTCATGTCGTCCCTGCAACTAGACCAGGCCCAACTAACAAACGAACAGGAACGTCTTCCACAGCAGTTACTGGAGAAATGTGCTGCTATTAGCGTCCGCACCAACGCCATCAAAGACTTGGTGGACTCGATGGGAGGTAGAATATCCTAGTTATATATCTGTCCGTCAGGATTCAGCACTGTAACCCATAATATATTTGTTTTGATTAATATCCGCAGCATACATATTATTCCTCACAAAAAAGAAAGAAAACAAAAACTTGTTTTAAAAGATTAATAACAAAGATGCATGTAAACCTTTGGAAATATAGGTGTTGTCCAGAAATCTGAGTCATTGTGGGAGTAAATCTGATATATGGTTTATTTTACCCAGTGTTACAATGAAAGTTGTCTTGTTTTGTTAGCGGTGTCAAATGTAGCTACAGAAGTGGACTGTGCCATACGAGAGATCAATCAACTACTAGAAGAGGACACTCAGGCACAGGAAGAGTTTGAGGTATGTCATAGGTCACATGTCAACATTTAGGTCAGATGTCAAAGATTACAGGTCAAATATTACAAGCCAGGTCAAACATTATAGGTCAGAGGCTAATGATTATAGAACAAGATTACAGGTGAGATCCATCAATGTAGGTCAGAGGTCAAAGATTACAGGTTAAATAAAACATGACATGTAAGGTCGATTATCAAAAGTGAAGGACAGATATAAAGGTCAGGTGTCAAGTATTACATGCCAGGTAAAAATAACATTCAGGATTCAAGACGGATAGAACTCGACCTGATGAAAATGTCTAGTATATACAAATGTACATATATAGTGAAGACAGGTTTCATAGTTTTATTACTGTTGGTATGATCAATGATTAGTTATCACAATAATTATTTTTGTTATTGTTTTTTTTTTGTTTATCTGATTTGTAGAAGCAGTTTGAGAAACGTTCACCCAATACCATGTTGCCTAGTATAAAAAAGGAGTGTGACATTTATGAGGAAGGTCATAAGAAAGGCAGCCAATCAAATAATGACTTACATAGAGCTATGAATGCACACGTGGCCAACCTCAAGTTACTGAGTTCTCCATTGGATGAAATCCAGAGAGCTCTCCCCTCATTGGATAAGGAAAAAAGTAAGTCCATGAGCATCAACAGAACATATCGTTTGGAAATGGAATATGCTGAGATTTAACATTGATAAGCTCATACTATATTACTTGTACACATAGACCTTGCTGTGGAGAATTGTTGATTAATTTTCAAGGCAATGACCAAGAAAAACTAGAAACAAAAATATCTTTGCCAATTTAATGAGAAGAATTAGAAGATCCGTAAGATGACATTTTTGTAAGGAGATGTTCGTAAATAGTAGCAACTTCACACTGTAGATCCTGAAGATGATGCTGTGGTGAAAGAGTTACAGAGACTACTCAGCAAAGTCGAGGAGATGAAGGCACAGCGTACTCGTCTTGAAGAAGAGCTCCGAGACCAAATAAAAAATGATGACATCACCAGTGTCATAGTAACGCAGGAGGAGACTAACAAAGAGGTACAGTTTGTAGTTTATACCACATAACTATCTGTCAGGGTACATCAACATGCACGCTATTCCTCAGTCATAGGAGACAGAAGTTCACATTAGAGAAATTTATTATAACTTTACAGTATGGCAAATTTGTTAAACACATACTAGTGTTATTTGTAGACCAATGAGAGTTAGATGTAAGCATTGCTCCTCCTTGTATTTCTAAAATGAGGTTTCATCCTACCTCTGGATATGAATTTATATAGTAGAGTGCTTGGAAACTTTGTTAAAGTCTCAAGTTTCAAAATTCGGGGGTCTTTTTTACCCTCATTCAGGATGATAGGGGAATACAAAGGTTATGAGCAGAATTTTCGTTGTCTGATACAGACTTGTGATTATGATTGTAGAAACTGTTTGAGGAGCAGCTGAAGAAACATGAAGAGAAAGTGGCATTGATAAACCAGAATCTCTCAGCTCAGGAGAACATCCTGCGAGCTCTGACAGACTGCAATGCCAAATATGCCAGTCTGAGACGTACGACAGTGGATACTGGAGCCAGGTAACATAAAATATACTTATATTTTTTGAGAGTCACTTTAGATTCTGCAGCAAGGGGGAAAATAAGTCAAAATAAAGATAGGCCTATCACTGTGCTTCTGTTAGCCAATTTGCATACTGCTGATGTATACTCTAGTTTGATATACTGTAAAACGGTTATTTTGCCGGGATGATATTCTCACCATACACTAACGTGAGAACGAGAAATATTGAGACACGTGTATTAGATGTCATTTAACGTCCAGATTGCAAAATTTCCATTTAATTTTAAACAAAGTCAACCTTCTTATCAGAAAATCACAAAAATTTTGATCCATGAAAAATGCCAGTTATACGGTAATGTTGATTGTAGATTGCATCACATTAAAGTGTGCTTATTTTAAGTGAATTTTTACTACTTTCAACAGACGAGAAGGAATGATTCGAGATCTGATCAACTCGTATGATGTTTATGAGGATTTGATGGCCAAATCTCAGAAAGGTCTTGAATTCTATCGAAAGCTTGAAACCAATATAACACGCCTTTTGGACAGATGTCGTGGCTTGTGTAAGATTCAGCATGAGGAGCGGGAACAGATCATGAATCGTAACAAACCCAAAGGTAACTCAGATCATGAATCCTACAAACATAAAGGTAACTCAGATCATGAATCTTACAAACATAAAGGTAACTCAGATCATGAATCTTACAAACATAAAGGTAACTCAGATCATGAATCTTACAAACATAAAGGTAACTCAGATCATGACTCTTACAAACATAAAGGTAACTCAGATCATGAATCTTACAAACATAAAGATAACTCAGATCATGAATCTTACAAACATAAAGGTAACTCAGATCATGACTCTTACAAACATAAAGGTAACTCAGATCATGAATCTTACAAACATAAAGATAACTCAGATCATGAATCTTACAAACATAAAGGTAACTCAGATCATGACTCTTACAAACATAAAGGTAACACAGATCATGAATCGTAACAAACACAAAGGTATAATAACACAGATCATGAATCTTACAAACCCAAAGGTAACTCAGATTATGAATCATTACAAACCCAAAGGTTACTCAGATTATGAATCATTACAAACCCAAAGGTTACTCAGATTATGAATCATTACAAACCCAAAGGTTACTCAGATTATGAACTGCTAAATATATAAATATATAATGATAAGTCCAAGTAAGAACTGTTACAAACCAAAAATTCATGAATCTTTAAAAACAGAAACTTAAGGTAACTCTGGAACAGAAATCATCAGAAACACATAGGTAACCTGAAGGTTCTGTACTGTTCATGCCTGGTACCTGCAATAAGCCAACCTTTGTCTGTTGCAGTGTCTGCACCATCTAGACCAATGGCACCTAAACCAGGAAAGATGGACAGCCATGTGCCTCCAGACTTTATCCCCTCTTCTCTCTCAGGTGGAATTCCAAGTCAACTTGAACCTGTTGCAATGCCACAAGACAATATTCCGGGGCAACCATCTTTGCCAAGTTCACAACCACCACCAGGTTCAGGCATGATTACAGGATTTGAAGGTCCAAAATTGAAGGACTTTCTACCCTTCATGAAACCAAAAACTTTTGGCAAAGATAGTCCATCTGCTAAGAGAAACAGAACTCGAGATTCAGACACAGGTTCTCTTCCAGGAAGTGTACCAGACTCCCCAGTTCATTTCCCAGCTGGGACAGGAAGTCTACCAGCTAGTCCATACCAGAGTATGGACATGCCAGGTGGATATGTTCCAGAAGCAGCGGAGATGGATATGAAAGCAGCCATGCTACGAGGTGGTGCATCCTATCGTCCAGATCTCAGACAGCAAAAACAAGATAATAGGGGATATCCTAGTCCTGCAGGGAGTCCAGGACTCCGTCACTCCCCAGCCCATTCTCCATCGCCACAGCCAGGATACAACCCTCAAGCTCGTCCCGCAACTGATCCAGGTGTGTCACAACCTCAACCGATTCAACAACTGCCTCCAAACCCAACAGACACACAGAGACTGCAACAAATCACACAACATCCAGGAGTTGTAAAAGGACCTCAGAATATCATTGCCCAATCAGGGGGAATGCAGATGCCACCTCAGGCCACTTTGTCTGGTCATTATCCTGGTGAAGTGAGTTCTCTGTCACAGGTCCCTGTATCTCAAGTGATGGAGCCTCAACAACACCAGACTGGGACAGGCACAAACACTGTGTCTACAATACATACTCCTGTTATCTCCCCTGCTAATACATCACCATCTGTACATCAACACTATAGGGAGCTGCCAGCAGAACTGACAACTTCACAACAACAAGGTGTTCCAAAACAACAGGCGCCACAAGCAGCAACTTTTCCACAACAGCAGCAGGTACAACAGCCACAACAGTTTTCCCAGCAACAACTTCAAAACCAGCAGATATCCCAGCAACAAATGCAAAACCAACAACACCTTCAATTTCAACAACAACGGCAACAATTGCCACCACAAGTACCACAGCAACAACAAAATCCACAGCAACAAATAATACATAAGCCACAATCTGTGCCACTTTCAGTATCACAACAGCAACCAATGATAAGGCAACAATTAATACCACAGCAACAACAGTTACCAAATCAACAACAGTTACCAAATCAACAACAACAGTTACCACAGCAACAACAACAGATGCCACAACAACATATGCCAAAGAACCAGCATTTACCAAAACAAATACCACAGCAACAACAGTTTCCACAGCAACAACAACAGTTACCACCACAGCAGCAGTTACCACAGCAACAACACCAGTTGCCACCACAGCAGCAGTTACCACAGCAACAGTATTCACAACAACCACAACAACATATTCAACAACAGCAACAACAGCCACAGATAATTCAGCAACATCGATCTACCCCAACTCCTCCACAACAGTTTCCCATTCATTCTGCAGCACAAGTTAACACACAGGGGCTGACAACAGGAGCAGCAATGTATCCCCAGGCCAGCACAGCACATATGGCTGGCAGTCAGACAAAGCCGTCAACTCAGTCAAGCCAACAGTCCTGGCAACATCAGCATTCACCATACCAACAAACAGGACGGGGTTACCCAGTACAACAAGTCTCTGGGGCAACACAGTTACCGCAGCAACAGTCACAGCAAAGTCAAGGTCATTTCCTACAGCAACAGATGTCTCAAGATCAACCAACACAAGTGTACTCCACTCCTAACCAGACTATAACGTATCCACAACAGATGCAAGGACAACAACAGTTACCTGGGCAACCACAATATCAAAGGCAGCAACAAGGGACAACAAAACAACCACCTCCAAGTCAAGTGTATCAGGGACAGCATATTCCAGGGCAACAAGGAATGCCTCAGACAACTCAACAACATGGAGGACAACAAATACTGGGACAAGTTGCCAGACAACAACAGGTTCAACAGAGTACAGGTCAAATGTTGCCTGGTCAGAATGTTGTAGGTCAACAAAGTCCAATGGTAACCCAACAATACGGTCAGACAGGAAGTCTGCAACAGTATCCAGTGCAGACTGTACAGGGGGGACAACAGACAGTACAGGTGCAACAAGGACAAAGAGTACAAGGACAACAAGGTCAAGTTCAAATGTTGCCAGGACATCAAGGTCAAGGTATACCAGGGCAACAAGGTCAAGGTCAGAGGATGTCAGGACAACCAAATCCAGGTCAAATGTTGCCAGCACTGCAAGGTCAAGGTCAGAGGATGCCCTTACAACAAAATCCAGGTCAAATATTGCCTGGGCAGCAAGGCCAAATAATGTCTGGACAGCAAGGTTATCAACATTTACAGAGCCAACAGAATTATACACACAGTACCCAAGGGCAGTTCCAAGGTCAGCAGATTGTACAACAACAGCAGAATGTCTTACCAAGACAACAAGGTCCTGTGTCTGTTCAGAACCAGTACTCCAACTCTGTTCTACCTAGTCAGGTATGCCTATCATTATGTAAGATTCAGATTAAGATATGTAAATAAGGGTAATACTTCTGCTCAGTAATTAAATTTCCAGTTTTGTAGCAAACAGATTGTTCCTGTTAGGATTGATATAAACTTATTTGTTGTTCTTCAGCTGAACTTGATTTCTTCTTGTTTTTTCATGGATGTAGATTGCCTTTATTGAACTGAATGATATTGAATCATTCCTGTGAAAAATTTAATTAAAAAATGATGCTTAGTAACTTGATACACACATGTTTTTAGACCTGGAAACAGATTTTGATATAATGTAGTATTTGAACTAAGTAAATATATCCTGTATTTTTAAATGAAAAGCATAAGAAAATGACTACACCATATCTGTTCTAAAACTTGGATTTTCCCTGGATGGCCACTTATCTGCCTAACCACTTGGGTTTTCCCCTGGTAGTCTGTTTATCTCCTAACCCCTTGGGTTTTCCCCTGGTAGTCTGTTTATCTCCTAACTCCTTGGGTTTTCCCCTGGTAGTCTGTTTATCTCCTAACCACTTGGGTTTTCCCCTGGTAGTCTGTTTATCTCCTAACCACTTGGGTTTTCCCCTGGTAGTCTGTTTATCTCCTAACCACTTGGGTTTTCCCCTGGTAGTCTGTTTATCTCCTAACCACTTGGGTTTTCCCCAGGTAGTCTGTTTATCTCCTAACCACTTGGGTTTTCCCCTGGTAGTCTGTTTATCTCCTAACCACTTGGGTTTTCCCCTGGTAGTCTGTTTATCTCCTAACCACTTGGGTTTTCCCCTGGTAGTCTGTTTATCTCCTAACCACTTGGGTTTTCCCCTGGTAGTCTGTTTATCTCCTAACCACTTGGGTTTTCCCCTGGTAGTCTGTTTATCTCCTAACCACTTGGGTTTTCCCCTGGTAGTCTGTTTATCTCCTAACCACTTGGGTTTTCCCCTGGTAGTCTGTTTATCTCCTAACCACTTGGGTTTTCCCCTGGTAGTCTGTTTATCACCTAACCACTTTGGTTTTCCTCTGGTAGTCTGTTTATCTCCTAACCACTTGGGTTTTCCCCTGGTAGTCTGTTTATCTCCTAACCACTTGGGTTTTCCCCTGGTAGTCTGTTTATCTCCTAACCACTTGGGTTTTCCCCTGGTAGTCTGTTTATCACCTAACCACTTGGGTTTTCCCCTGGTAGTCTGTTTATCACCTAACCACTTTGGTTTTCCTCTGGTAGTCTGTTTATCACCTAACCACTTTGGTTTTCCTCTGGTAGTCTGTTTATCACCTAACCACTTGGGTTTTCCCCTGGTAGTCTGTTTATCTCCTAACCACTTGGGTTTTCCCCTGGTAGTCTGTTTATCTCCTAACCACTTGGGTTTTCCCCTGGTAGTCTGTTTATCTCCTAACCACTTGGGTTTTCCCCTGGTAGTCTGTTTATCTCCTAACCACTTGGGTTTTCCCCTGGTAGTCTGTTTATCTCCTAACCACTTGGGTTTTCCCCTGGTAGTCTGTTTATCTCCTAACCACTTGGGTTTTCCCCTGGTAGTCTGTTGGTAGTCTGTTTATCTCCTAACCACTTGGGTTTTCCCCTGGTAGTCTGTTTATCTCCTAACCACTTGGGTTTTCCCCTGGTAGTCTGTTTATCTCCTAACCACTTGGGTTTTCCCCTGGTAGTCTGTTTATCTCCTAACCACTTGGGTTTTCCCCTGGTAGTCTGTAACCACTGTTTATCTCCTAACCACTTGGGGGTTTTCCCCTGGTAGTCTGTTTATCTCCTAACCACTTGGGTTTTCCCCTGGTAGTCTGTTTATCTCCTAACCACTTGGGTTTTCCCCTGGTAGTCTGTTTATCACCTAACCACTTGGGTTTTCCCCTGGTAGTCTGTTTATCTCCTAACCACTTGGGTTTTCCCCTGGTAGTCTGTTTATCTCCTAACCACTTGGGTTTTCCCCTGGTAGTCTGTTTATCTCCTAACCACTTGGGTTTTCTAACCACTTGGGTTTTGGTAGTCTGTTTATCTCCTAACCACTTGGGTTTTCCCCTAGGTTTATCTCCTAACCACTTGGGTCTGTTTATCTCCTAACCACTTGGGTTTTCCCCTGGTAGTCTGTTTATCACCTAACCACTTGTAGTCTGTTTTCTAACCACCCTGGTAGTCTGTTTATCTCCTAACCACTTGGGTTTTTGGTAGTCTGTTTATTCCTAACCACTTGGGTTTTCCCCGGTAGTCTGTTTATCTCCTAACCACTTGGGTTTTCCCCTGGTAGTCTGTTTATCTCCTCTGTTTATCACCTAACCACTTGGGTTTTCCCCTGGTAGTCTGTTTATCTCCTAACCACTTGGGTTTTCCCCTGGTAGTCTGTTTATCTCCTAACCACTTGGGTTTTCCCCAGGTAGTCTATTTATCTCCTAACCACTTGGGTTTTCCCCAGGTAGTCTGTTTATCTCCTAACCACTTGGGTTTTCCCCAGGTAGGCCAGCTTGCTCTCGCAGTAAGACACCTAAAACACTTTTATCTGAGCCAACACAGGTGATTTTTATACGTGTATGTATGTGTATAAGTTGAAATAACTTGTTTGTACAATTTTACAATGTAAAGAACCCTGTTAAGATAACATGCCAACATCTGCCACATATACTTAACTTGGAAATTGTTTAGAATTTTAGTCCAAATGTAAATTCATATGTCAAATATGGTAGCTTGGTATGGTCTATATGATGTTTGACTTAACAGCATTATTTGATTTATCATCAGAGAATTAACAAATTGTATTGTTTTAATATGTAACTCTCAAGTTTCAGAGCTGATGTTATTAAATGAAGCATGTATATAATATAGAATGTCTTTTTTTCAGGCTGGGGGCACATTTGTCCGACCTCCTCATCCTTATCTTAATGTAGGTACTGCCCAGCCTGGGACAACTTATGGACATGGTAAGTTACCAAGTCACCATGGTTATTAGTTATAAAAGTCATTACACCACTTGGAAAATCTGACATCTTTTAATGAGTTATTTTTGATTGGTAACTGCGAAAACAGCAATAACATCACAAGCTTGTGACTTATTAAGTTAATTTCCCCCACAAAACGCATTTGTGGGGGATATTAATTCAGACCCTGTCTTTGCGTCCGTCCAAGGGGTTTTCCAGGCTATAACTTCAAAACCATTCAACTTCACAAAAATAGCTGTATATATTTCTGTTACCATCAAATTTTCTCATTTCTTGTGTCTTGAGATCTACATCAAGATATAAACCCTTACTGAAGATATCAGGTTGATATATAAAATATATATATAGTTGAAATGTTGAAGTTGTGGAGATGCAAGAAATTTAATTGATAATTGACCAAAAAAGAATAGCATTTTGCACTAGCGCTTTCACTGTATTAAATCTTAAGGTGATAGTAACGGTACATAATTGAGTGACATCACAAACTCCTAAATGGTTATATATATATATACATTGGAAACTTGTTATCTCGAAATTCAAGGTATAGAAGGGGAAAGATTGAGACTTGAAAATTATTTCTACCCAAATGGAATTTCGACTCGAGCGATTTCGAGACAATGAGTTTCAACTGTATATCATATTATGGTTTTACACCAACAGCTGGGTTCAGCGGATAATGCCACGCTTTGCGGCTCCTTGTTGAAATTCTTTTCTTCTAAATTGCATATTACATTGATAGTGATGTAAGATCTTCTATCATTAGACATAAACATGTCTTAAATTTGTTGATGTTATAGACTAGAGAGTGCAGGTTTATCATTCTGTGGTGTTTTATTTTCTCCAAATGAAAGTGATTACACTAGATGATCTTATGAATCATATTTCCCGTCTCTTATAAAATCTTTCAATATGTTAACAATAGATTGATAAAATTAACACTTAATGTAGGAATAAATCCTACTTAACACTTCTGTTGTATCCTCTTGATCACGGGAAAAAAGCCATGGTTTCTACTTTCAAACAAAGAATTTTCCTGCTATTTTCGTTAATGAGTAGTTGATTAAGAAATTAAATTTTTTGAAATCTAAGCAGACTTTTATTTAACTGTCTATTCATTCATTTTGGGTAACAGGTCCAGTTGTGTCACAGAATCCATTATCACCTGATGTGATGCAGGGATCTCTGCCCTCTCCACTCCAACCCATGTCTTCTAGTCCAGGACTTAAAGCTGACACCACCAAGAAACAAAAGGATGAGGTCCCAGCATGTGTAGCACAGCTGGCTAAGGATCTAGAAGCTGTGGACCTTTCTCCTAGTCATAAACCAAGTGTTGCCTCACAGCCAGTAAGTATAACACAGCTAGCTAAGGATCTATAGATTGTGGACCTTTCTCCTAGTCATAAACCAAGTGTTGCCTCACAGGCAGTAAGTATAACACAGCTGGCTAAGGATCTAGAGGCTGTGTGTAGTCATAAAATAAACATTGTCTCACAGCTAGTATGTCTAACACATCTGGCCTAAAATATAGAGAATGTTGACTTGTCTTCTGGTTATAAACCACACTTTATTCCTCCAGAAGGTTTATGCTAAAATGAAGCATTGTTATTCTACATTCTTTGTATAGGTGATGTTCTTTGTTACAGAGTGTTAATCCACCCTCACAGATTGGCAATAAACCTCCTCAGGTTTTACATCCTACACCCACCAAACCAGTCGTTCCAGCCTCAGGGGCAGTCAACCCTACCCCACCACAGACTCTACCCTCATCCTCTCAAGCAAGCCTTCCACCAACACAGACTCCGGCTGTCCCACCTAGTGACACCACTACCTGCAGGAGTCAATCTATGGACATCTCGCATCAGACACACAAAAGGAATCTCTCAGTGTCGTCTAACACGTCATTGGATGACATTTTGTCTTCAAGTCCTACTGGGCGCGGCAACGATGTCATGACTCCAAAAGTATTGACAGCACAGGAGATTCAACAGCAGAAGGAAGAGGCTCTCATGAAGGGAAACTATTCAAAACAGATGTCACGGGATCCATACTCAGACATCTGTGCCAGAGACAAGTTTGTGAGTGAGACGGAAAAGCTTGCCAAGTTTGTGGAGGGGTTGGACAAAACCACTTGTTCAGGACCTACACAATTGGACATTGCCTGGAGGGTAAGATGTCTGATTTACTGAAACAATTATTCATGATTTCATTCTGGCTATGTTTATTTTACAAGCAATCATGTACAGCTGATATTGATTACCAATTTGTATTCTTATTCTCTGATTCAACGTTTTGAAATTTTGTGAACATTTAACAGAATTTTGCTCATGAAACCAAGCATAATGTGGGTTTAAGCTTTACTTAAATTATTGGATATAAATAACTTCATTAAAAAAAAGACATATTTAACTGATTATAAGTACAGTCAAACATCCTTATTTCAAAGTCAGCGGAACTGTTGGAATACTTTCTGTTATCCAGGTATTCAATTAAAGTGAGATGGAATGTTTGATGAAAAGTTTGGCCAAGACAGATGAAATACTTTAAATAATTCGGGGTCATCAAGTTAAACAAGTTAGAGATAGCAAAGTTTGACTGTACTTTACAATAAATTAGTGTATAAGATACCATCTTTTTCTTGTAGTTAGCTCAGGGAGCCAACACAAAAATTCATGATTCTGAGAATGAGATGGGATTATTTGCAGGACAATAATAAAGTATCTGTTAGAGATTTTACTTAGCTGTAGAAGACATATGTCAGCTGATTACCAGGCGTTACTGTGTGTAATTAATAATGATACCCTACTATCACGGTAGTTCTTGTATTACTGTAATATATACAGAAATATTCCTAGAGTTTAACCTAGCCCATCACTTATGTGTAGTATATATGTACTATAATCCACATTTGTTCCTGTTATACACTGTGTTTGTGTGTAGGAGTTGATAGATGAACAGGAGAAGGAAGGAAGGAAGTTACCGATGGCTATCGCCCGATGTTATACCATGAAGAATAGAGAGCTGGATGTTATGCCTTGTAAGTACATACTGACTGTTGTACTTAACTGTCAGATCAAGGACTGATAGAATCAGTAGAATTCAGGTGTGTTAAGCATAAAGATGTGTGATGTTTGAACTTAAATATACATAGTTTGTAGTGGTTTGAATCTTAATTGTCTTAAGGTGAGAAAATGTTTCAAACCAGAAATTTACTACAGGTCAGATCTTTGATTTAGGGTTTCAGCAGGGAGATGGAGGCTTGATTCAGATGGTGAACTTTAAGGTGGTGATTTAATTCTTGTTGTGCTAGTAGTCAGGTTTCAGTCTGGTTGTGAGCAACCAGGGGTTTTAATCTTGACCATGTAGATTTGAGTCATGCTGTGTACTGCAGATCAATGGTTTTAATTTGATCCAATTTTGTACTTGTGTGGAGAAGTTTGAACCCAGATGTGTGTTGGAGAGCCAAAGTTTCAGCTTGTTTTTATGGACAGAAGTTTGAGTCTAATGGTGCACTGGTTGACAGGGGGATTTAGCCCAGGTTTGTACTGGTGGGCTCAGGTTGATAGAGATATGTTCTGAATGATAAGAATTTGATTTTGGGTGTGAGTTTCAAGGTTGAGGTATAGTTCCCTTTATTTAAGGTTAGTTGTATGGAGTTACTGTACTTAAGACCTCCAGCAGAAATGGAGCGAGGGATAAACTTTCAAAATTTTTATGAGTATGTTTGAAATGACCAGCTTCCTCCATTATAATAGTCTTCTGTTTTAATTTCACATTGTTCTATGTACTGTCTCCAGAAGCATGTCAAGTTAGCTCATTTCTGGTATGATGTGACTGTTCTCCACATTCCTTTACCAGAATTAATGTTAATTATTTTAGAATAAATCTGGATAACCTGTCTTCCCTGCACACTGATTTCTTCTTACTTGTAGCAGAACTCAAAACTTTTAACAGATACACTGGACAGACTGACAAGAGCTTTGAAATAGCAAAATAGAGTTCCTTTTCCGGTCCCATCAGCTTGTGAATATTTTTATCGCTGTGTTTTTTTTTTCAGATGATGAGACACGAGTGATATTAACGTCACATAAAGATGACTATATCAACGCCAGCTGGATCAATGTAAGTGTGAACTAAAGACAAAATCCGCCGGTTTTATAAGAATCTTTCTTATTCCAATACAATGGACATGCTTTTGTTCCTCGTGGTTTGATGTATATTAACACAGCATTTTGTAGATGATTCATTATTTATGACACTGAAAAATTATCTCATTTTGAGTGAAAAATTATGTTGATTTATTCAGATTAGTATTTATCTAAGATAAACCAATTATGTCAGGTATGATTTAATATTAGGAAATTTTTATTGAAAATCAATTTAGAAAGAAAAAACTAAATGCAGGAAATTGCCTAAAAATGTCTAAAATTTGCTCAAGGAAATTTGTGTAGCTGTCTGAAATTAACTCTATCAGAAGTATTCCCTAAAAATGACATGTTTTGTTAAAATTTCAAAATCAAGGAAAGGTTGATTTTTGAGGAAAGGTGAAAATTAAGTAGCTCAAATTTTATCAACTATCTTAAAACACAGTTGTATTACATTCAATACTACATGTATACTGATGTCATAAATAAGTCATGTCTATCTATTTCCTCAGATGATTGTCTTGGTAGTGGAAAATGTACTGTCTGAGTCTAAATAAGTCTGTCTTAATGCCAATTAATTTGTGTTTTTAAATCAAACAAAAGACTCCTAACATCAAATTAACGTACACCTGGAAACTTTTAGGGGTCAAGATTTTCGTGATTTTCTTGTAAAATTATCGAATATCTTCACAAAAATTGAATCTAATCTGGATGTTAAAAGTCATCTTTTACACACCTGTCTTGTTATTTCACAGGTTAAATTATTGTGAACATGTTACTGTACCAAGATATAGCAAAAATATCCTTTCAAATATGATTGGTTTTACAGTATAGAACCTGTTCAATAGATTCTACATCACATGAAGGCTTGTGTAAGATCAGCTATTTCTAAAGTGTTGTCAGCTGTTGTGGTGAGGATATCACATGATCATTGTAATATACTGTAAACATGGAAATTTATGTGAGTGGGGAATTTATGCTTATTACGAGAACGTCAGATCGCAAAAATTTCCTCAGCAGGTAGGATTTTGTGTTATGCTTAAATCTTATAGATGAAATGAAATGAAAATTGATCATGAAAATAACCCCCCACACATATGGTTTACTGAAACAAATTGCAAAATTAACCCCCCATGAAAATTTCCGTGTTTACAGTATATCTTTTTCGTACTTGACTACTCAGAATGTATGCCTGTTATGCACAATATTTGAGTAACCAAGTCAATATGCTCTGGTTGTAGGAGTTATCACCATCGTGCCCGAAGTTTATAGCCACACAGGCACCCTTGCCTAGTACTATCACAGATTTCTGGCTCATGATCTACGAACAAGGTGTTGAAGTCATTGTCATGTTGTCCAGTGAGTTAGAGACTGGCAAGGTAAGGATACACAGTCATGTTGTCCAGTGAGTTAGAGACTGGCAAGGTAAGGATACACAGAACAGATATTCAGGTAGAAATTGTAGGAATATTTTACTCTTTTTGTCCTGTGAGTTAGAGACTGGCAAGGTAAGGATACACAGAGTCATGTTGTCCAGTAAGTTAGAGACTGGCAAGGTAAAGATACACAGAGCAGATATTCAGGTAGGAAGTGTAGGGATATGTAACACTTGTTGTCCTGTGAGTTAGAGACAGGCAAGGTAAGGATACACAGAGCAGATATTCAGGTACAATGTGTAGGGATATTTTACACGTTTTGTCCTGTGAGTTAGAGACTGGCAAGGTAAGGATACACAGAGCAGATATTCAGGTAGGAAGTGTAGGAATATTTTACACCTGAGGAGAAACACAAGGTTTTATCACACTTAGTGGTCCTTAGGGTTGAAGAACCAAATACTTCATATTCATTAATGTAATAATATTTGTTGTTATACTTTATGTATTTCGATAAAATTGTCAGCCATTTTCCAACTGACAGAAAGGTTGTATTGCCACTGTCACAACATCCACCGTTGATGTCACACTCTATAAGTTCAGGCAGCATTACTGTGGTAGAAAACATTTATGTATGTAGGTTTAAGACAACATGTCTTTATTGCTGTCTGGTAGAAATACCAACTCAGGATATATTGTTTCCCCTATAATAAACCCAACCACTGACTTAAGTAAGAAGTTGGTCCCTTGGGTTTATTCCAGGATAGCTATGGTAGTAGACACTGGGAGAAAATCAGATCAGTAGATATACAGTGGAACAGTTAATATGATCCCCAAAAGTATGGAAGTTTAGTCTCAGGTGCCAATTTCTAACATTTTGTAGTAATAGTTCTTTCATTTATATAAGTAATTGACAGACCAGATTAAAAAAAAAACTTGCGTTTGTCATATTGGTTCAGTTTAACTAACTGGTTACTTGAAAAAAACATTCAACTGAATAACTGGTTCATTAGTTGACAATTAAATTGGTTAATTGGTTAATCAATAATAACTCTAATAACAACAGATCATTAACAAAAACTGCCAGATATTTCAAGGTGAGCTTATTTTCAGAATCATGAGTGCCCTATACATTATCATTAGTTACTAGATATTGACAAATAGTGGCATTGCAGTAAGGATGTATTGTTATTGTATTTTAGAAGTTCCCAGAGTACTGGCCGTTACAGAAGGGTCAACTTGTCCACCAAGGACCACTGACCGTTACCTTACAGAGTGTGAAGGACAAACAGCTTTGGACTGAAAGGATCATGTACCTCAACCATCCAGAGGTAGGTTGCCTGCGTGAAAAACTAAACAAAAAAACTATACATCTTTAGGAAGGTTGCCTGTATGAAAAACTAAACAAAAAAACTATACATCTTTAGGAAGGTTGCCTGCATGAAAAACTAAACAAAAAAACTATACATCTTTAGGAAGGTTGCCTGCATGAAAAACTAAACAAAACAAAAAAACTATACATCTTTAGGAAGGTTGCCTGCATGAAAAACTAAACAAAACAAAAAAACTATACATCTTTAGGAAGGTTGCCTGCATGAAAAACTAAACAAAAAAACTATACATCTTTAGGAAGGTTGCCTGCATGAAAAACTAAACAAAAAAACTATACATCTTTAGGAAGGTTGCCTGCATGAAAAACTAAACAAAACAAAAAACTATACATCTTTAGGAAGGTTGCCTGCATGAAAAACTAAACAAAAAAAAAACTATACATCTTTAGGAAGGTTGCCTGCATGAAAAACTAAACAAAACAAAAAAACTATACATCTTTAGGAAGGTTGCCTGCATGAAAAACTAAACAAAACAAAAAAACTATACATCTTTAGGAAGGTTGTCTGCATGAAAAACTAAACAAAAAAACTATACATCTTTAGGAAGGTTGCCTGCATGAAAAACTAAACAAAACAAAAAAACTATACATCTTTAGGAAGGTTGCCTGCATGAAAAACTAAACAAAAAAACTATACATCTTTAGAAAGGTTGCCTGCATGAAAAACTAAACAAAAAAACTATACATCTTTAGGAAGGTTGCCTGCATGAAAAACTAAACAAAACAAAAAAACTATACATCTTTAGGAAGGTTGCCTGCATGAAAAACTAAACAAAAAAACTATACATCTTTAGGAAGGTTGCCTGCATGAAAAACTAAACAAAAAAACTATACATCTTTAGGAAGGTTGCCTGCATGAAAAACTAAACTAAACAAAAAAACTATACATCTTTAGGAAGGTTGCCTGCATGAAAAACTAAACAAAAAAACTATACATCTTTAGGAAGGTTGCCTGCATGAAAAACTAAACAAAACAAAAAAACTATACATCTTTAGGAAGGTTGCCTGCATGAAAAACTAAACAAAAAAACTATACATCTTTAGGAAGGTTGCCTGCATGAAAAACAAAACAAAAAAACTATACATCTTTAGGAAGGTTGCCTGCATGAAAAACTAAACAAAAAAACTATACATCTTTAGGAAGGTTGCCTGCATGGAAAACAAAACAAAAAAACTATACATCTTTAGGAAGGTTGCCTGCATGAAAAACTAAACAAAAAAACTATACATCTTTAGGAAGGTTGCCTGCATGAAAAACTAAACAAAAAAACTATACATCTTTAGGAAGGTTGCCTGCATGGAAAACAAAACAAAAAAACTATACATCTTTAGGAAGGTTGCCTGCATGAAAAACTAAACAAAAAAACTATACATCTTTAGGAAGGTTGCCTGCATGAAAAACTAAACAAAACAAAAAAACTATACATCTTTAGGAAGGTTGCCTGCATGAAAAACTAAACAAAACAAAAAATCTATACATCTTTAGGAAGGTTGCCTGCATGAAAAACTAAACAAAAAACTATACATCTTTAGGAAGGTTGCCTGCATGAAAAACTAAACAAAAAAACTATACATCTTTAGGAAGGTTGCCTGCATGAAAAACTAAACAAAAAAACTATACATCTTTAGGAAGGTTGCCTGCATGAAAAACTAAACAAAACAAAAAAACTATACATCTTTAGGAAGGTTGCCTGCATGAAAAACTAAACAAAAAAACTATACATCTTTAGGAAGGTTGCCTGCATGAAAAACTAAACAAAAAAACTATACATCTTTAGGAAGGTTGCCTGCATGAAAAACTAAACAAAACAAAAAAACTATACATCTTTAGGAAGGTTGCCTGCATGAAAAACTAAACAAAACAAAAAAACTATACATCTTTAGGAAGGTTGCCTGCATGAAAAACTAAACAAAAAAACTATACATCTTTAGGAAGGTTGCCTGCATGAAAAACAAAATAAAAAAAAAAAACTATACATCTTTAGGAAGGTTGCCTGCATGAAAAACTAAACAAAAAAACTATACATCTTTAGGAAGGTTGCCTGCATGAAAAACTAAACAAAACAAAAAAACTATACATCTTTAGGAAGGTTGCCTGCATGAAAAACTAAACAAAACAAAAAAACTATACATCTTTAGGAAGGTTGCCTGCATGAAAAACAAAACAAAAAAACTATACATCTTTAGGAAGGTTGCCTGCATGAAAAACTAAACAAAACAAAAAAACTATACATCTTTAGGAAGGTTGCCTGCATGAAAAACTAAACAAAACAAAAAAACTATACATCTTTAGGAAGGTTGCCTGCATGAAAAACAAAACAAAAAAACTATACATCTTTAGGAAGGTTGCCTGCATGAAAAACTAAACAAAAAAACTATACATCTTTAGGAAGGTTGCCTGCATGAAAAACTAAACAAAACAAAAAAACTATACATCTTTAGGAAGGTTGCCTGCATGGAAAACAAAACAAAAAAACTATACATCTTTAGGAAGGTTGCCTGCATGAAAAACTAAACAAAAAAACTATACATCTTTAAAGGTTGCCTGCATGAAAAACTAAACAAAAAAACTATACATCTTTAGGAAGGTTGCCTGCATGAAAAACTAAACAAAACAAAAAAACTATACATCTTTAGGAAGGTTGCCTGCATGAAAAACTAAACAAAAAAACTATACATCTTTAGGAAGGTTGCCTGCATGAAAAACTAAACAAAAAAACTATACATCTTTAGGAAGGTTGCCTGCATGAAAAACTAAACAAAACAAAAAAACTATACATCTTTAGGAAGGTTGCCTGCATGAAAAACTAAACAAAAAAACTATACATCTTTAGGAAGGTTGCCTGCATGAAAAACTAAACAAAACAAAAAAACTATACATCTTTAGGAAGGTTGCCTGCATGAAAAACTAAACAAAAAAACTATACATCTTTAGGAAGGTTGCCTGCATGAAAAACTAAACAAAACAAAAAAACTATACATCTTTAGGAAGGTTGCCTGCATGAAAAACTAAACAAAAAAAATATACAAAAGGTTGCCTGCATGAAAAACTAAACAAAAAAACTATACATCTTAGGAAGGTTGCCTGCATGAAAAACTAAACAAAACAAAAAAACTATACATCTTTAGGAAGGTTGCCTGCATGAAAAACTGAAAAACAAAACAAAAAAACTATACATCTTTAGGAAGGTTGCCTGCATGAAAAACTAAACAAAACAAAAAAACTATACATCTTTAGGAAGGTTGCCTGCATGAAAAACTAAACAAAAAAACTATACATCTTTAGGAAGGTTGCCTGCATGAAAAACTAAACAAAACAAAAAAACTATACATCTTTAGGAAGGTTGCCTGCATGAAAAACTAGGAACAAAACAAAAAAACTATACATCTTTAGGAAGGTTGCCTGCATGAAAAACAAACAAAAAAACTATACAAGGAAGGTTGCCTGCATGAAAAACTAAACAAAAAAACTATACATCTTTAGGAAGGTTGCCTGCATGAAAAACAAAACAAAAAAACTATACATCTTTAGGAAGGTTGCCTGCATGAAAAACTAAACAAAACAAAAAAACTATACATCTTTAGGAAGGTTGCCTGCATGAAAAACTAAACAAAACAAAAAAACTATACATCTTTAGGAAGGTTGCCTGCATGAAAAACTAAACAAAAAAACTATACATCTTTAGGAAGGTTGCCTGCATGAAAAACTAAACAAAACAAAAAACTAAACATCTTTAGGAAGGTTGCCTGCATGGAAAACAAAACAAAAAAACTATACAAGGTTGCCTGCATGAAAAACTAAACAAAAAAACTATACATCTTTAGGAAGGTTGCCTGCATGAAAAACTAAACAAAAAAACTATAAAAAGGTTGCCTGCTGAAAAATAAACAAAAAAACTATACATCTTTAGGAAGGTTGCCTGCATGAAAAACTAAACAAAACAAAAAAACTATACATCTTTAGGAAGGTTCTGCATGAAAAAAAACAAAACAAAAAAACTATACATCTTTAGGAAGGTTGCCTGCATGAAAAACTAAACAAAACAAAAAAACTATACATCTTTAGGAAGGTTGCCTGCATGAAAAACTAAACAAAACAAAAAAACTATACATCTTTAGGAGCATGAAAAACAAAACAAAAAAACTATACATCTTTAGGAAGGTTGCCTGCATGAAAAACTAAACAAAAAAACTATACATCTTTAGGAAGGTTGCCTGCATGAAAAACTAAACAAAAAAACTATACATCTTTAGGAAGGTTGCCTGCATGAAAAACTAAACAAAACAAAAAAACTATACATCTTTAGGAAGGTTGCCTGCATGAAAAACTAAACAAAAAAACTATACATCTTTAGGAAGGTTGCCTGCATGAAAAACTAAACAAAAAAACTAACAAAAATGAAAAACAAAACAAAAAAACTATAGGAAGGTTGCCTGCATGAAAAACAAACCAAAACAAAAAACTATACATCTTTAGGAAGGTTGCCTGCATGAAAAACTAAACTAAAAAAAAACTAACAACAGGAAACAAAAAAAAAACAAAACAAAAAAACTATACATCTTTAGGAAGGTTGCCTGCATGAAAAACTAAACAAAACAAAAAAACTATACATCTTTAGGAAGGTTGCCTACATCTTTATCTTTAGGAAGGTTGCCTGCATGAAAAAAACTAAAAAAAAAACAAAAAAACTATACATCTTTAGGAAGGTTGCCCATGAAAAACTAAACAAAAAACTACATCTTTAGGAAGGTTGCCTGCATGAAAAACTAAACAAAAAAACTATACATCTTTAGGAAGGTTGCCTGCATGAAAAACTAAACAAAACAAAAATACTATACATCTTTAGGAAGGTTGCCTGCATGAAAAACTAAACAAAACAAAAAACATATATACTTTAGGAAGGTTGCCTGCAAAAACTAAACTAAAACAAAAAAATACTACATCTTTAGGAAGGTTGCCTGCATGAAAAACTAAACAAAAAAACTATACATCTTTAGGAAGGTTGCCTGCTGTAAAAACTAAAAAAACAAAAAAACTATTATCTTAAACACACCTAAAACAGAGGTAAACAACTTCTGTATAAACTACACTAAAACAGAGGTAAGGTACTTCTGTATAAACTACACCTAAAACAGAGGTAGATATAACTTGAATCAGATGAAGATTTATCCCTAAGTAGTTTAGATTTTGCACCTACTTTTCTGTATAAACTACAACTAAAACAGAGGTAGATGTACTTCTGTATAAACTACACCTAAAACAGAGGTAGACATCCTTCTGTATAAACTACACCTAAAACAGAGGTAGACATCCTTCTGTATAAACTACACCTAAAACAGAGGTAGACGTACTTCTGTATAAACTACACCTAAAACAAGGTAGACTAGACCTAAAACAGAGGTAGAACTACTTCTGTATACTACACCTAAAACAGAGGTATACGTACTTCTGTATAAACTACACCTAAAACAGAGGTAGACGTAGGTAGACATACTTCTGTATAAACTATAAAACAGAGGTAGACGTAACTACACTAAAACAGAGGTAAACATACTTCTGTATAAACTACACTTAAAACAGAGGTAGACGTACTTCTGTATAGACTACACCTAAAACCTAAAACAGAGGTAAACATACTTCTGTATAGACTACACCTAAAACAGAGGTAGACGTACTTCTGTATAAACTACACCTAAAACAGAGGTAGACGTACTTCTGTATAAACTACACCTAAAACAGAGGTAGACGTACTTCTGTATAAACTACACCTAAAACAGAGGTAGACGTACTTCTGTATAAACTACACCTAAAACAGAGGTAGACGTACTTCTGTATAAACTACACCTAAAACAGGAGACATACTTCTGTAAAACAGAGGTAGACGTACTTCTGTATAAACTACACCTAAAACAGAGGTAGATGTACTTCTGTATAAACTACACCTAAAACAGAGGTAGACATACTTCTGTATAAACTACACTTAAAACAGAGGTAGATGTACTTCTGTATAAACTACACCTAAAACAGAGGTAGACCTACTTCTGTATAAACTACACCTAAAACAGAGGTAGACGTACTTCTGTATAAACTACACCTAAAACAGAGGTAGACGTACTTCTGTATAAACTACACCTAAAACAGAGGTAGATGTACTTCTGACATACTTCTGTATAAACTACACCTAAAACAGAGGTAGACGTACTTCTGTATAAACTACACCTAAAACAGAGGTAGACATCCTTCTGTATAAACTACACCTAAAACAGAGGTAGACATCCTTCTGTATAAACTACACCTAAAACAGAGGTAGACGTACTTCTGTATAAACTACACCTAAAACAGAGGTAGACGTACTTCTGTATAAACTACACCTAAAACAGAGGTAGACATATTTCTGTATAAACTACACCTAAAACAGAGGTAGACGTACTTCTGTATAAACTACACCTAAAACAGAGGTAAACATACTTCTGTATAGACTACACTTAAAACAGAGGTAGATGTACTTCTGTATAAACTACACTTAAAACAGAGGTAGATGTACTTCTGTATAAACTACACCTAAAACAGAGGTAGACATACTTCTGTATAAACTACACTTAAAACAGAGGTAGATGTACTTCTGTATAAACTACACCTAAAACAGAGGTAGACGTACTTCTGTATAAACTACACCTAAAACAGAGGTAGATATATGCCTGTATAAACTACACCTAAAACAGATGTAGACATACTTCTGTATAAACTACATCTAAAACAGAGGTAGACGTACTTCTGTATAAACTACACCTAAAACAGAGGTAGACGTACTTCTGTATAAACTACACCTAAAACAGAGGTAGATGTACTTCTGTATAAACTACACCTAAAACAGAGGTAGACGTACTTCTGTATAAACTACACCTAAAACAGAGGTAGACGTACTTCTGTATAAACTACACCTAAAACAGAGGTAGATGTACTTCTGTATAAACTACACCTAAAACAGAGGTAGACATACTTCTGTATAAACTACACCTAAAACAGAGGTAGACATACTTCTGTATAAACTACACCTAAAACAGAGGTAGACATACTTCTGTATAAACTACACCTTAAACAGAGGTAGACGTACTTCTGTATAAACTACACTTAAAACAGAGGTAGACATACTTCTGTATAAACTACACTTAAAACAGAGGTAGACATACTTCTGTATAAACTACACTTAAAACAGAGGTAGATGTACTTCTGTATAAACTACACCTAAAACAGAGGTAGACGTACTTCTGTATAAACTACACTTAAAACAGAGGTAGATGTACTTCTGTATAAACTACACCTAAAACAGAGGTAGATGTACTTCTGTATAAACTACACCTAAAACAGAGGTAGACGTACTTCTGTATAAACTACACCTAAAACAGAGGTAGACGTACTTCTGTATAAACTACACCTAAAACAGAGGTAGAACTACTTCTGTATAAACTACACCTAAAACAGAGGTAGATGTACTTCTGTATAAACTACACCTAAAACAGAGGTAGACATACTTCTGTATAAACTACACCTAAAACAGAGGTAGACATACATCTGTATACTACACATAAAACAGAGGTAGATGTACTTCTGTATAAACTACACTTAAATCAGAGGTAGACATACTTTTGTATAAACTACACCTAAAACAGAGGTAGATGTACTTCTGTATAAACTACATCTAAAACAGAGGTAGACATACATCTGTATACTACACATAAAACAGAGGTAGATGTACTTCTGTATAAACTACACCTAAAACAGAAGTATAGATTGAGGTAAAGTTATCTGTAGGATGACTGTTTTAACTTGTGCCAGGCTCACGCACAGGGTTTATGTCTTTTAAACATACTTCATTAGTAATTAATTATTATAAATTTATGTTGTACATTGTTACTTTCAGAAGCGACAGGGAAGAACCATTGTACAACTACAGTACAAGAACTGGCCCGTGAGGTAACTACTGCAATGACAGTAATGTGTGCTGTAATGTGTAGTCATGTAAGATAGCAAAACATTGAGTAATCATCAGATCATTTTACAGCAAAATATAAAAAAATTATGTATTATGTGTATGTAGGCATGGATACCAATATCTAGACATGCTCTCCTGTGTTCTACTTATGATGGAATTGCATGAAACTATAACCAGGATAAACGTGGATTTTTAGCTCTGCAAATACTCAACTGTACCTTATTGTAGGAACCATGTGTCATAATCTTGAGAAGTATCAGTCTCATTTGATAAGTTTGTTCTGTAAATCAGCCCATATAGAAAACTTTTGTAAAATTAATTTTTCATTAATTTTAATTTTATCTCTTGATCATGTTTATTAATGACAAACATGTTTGAACAAATATTTTTTTATATTCTTCATTCTTATAAAGTCTTATAAATTATTGTCTCCAAAATCTTTAAAATCCTTCTGGTACATAAAATACCTATTTGTGGATAAATCTTTATCATGGATATGACCTTCCCAATGTAATTCAACATTAATATGTGTCATTTTGTATTTTGTCGCTGATGTAATTTGAAATATTAAGTCCATAGAATAGTAATGAATTGGCCAGATTCTCAATAAACCAGTATTGCTATACATAGTTCAAAAGCATGTTATTAATAGATATACTTATCAAATTCCAGTACATTTGATTCTTGAGGGATTTTCTTCAAACAAGCCATTAAACAACTATACCTTTACTTTCAGTGGATTTCCCGAAAAGGTGCCACACATTCTACAATTCATCACAGAGGTTCACAGTTTCTATAGACAACAAAGGAGTTTACTCAAGCCAGTAGTCGTTCACTGCAGGTAATGATCTTAGAAATAAACAGGTATTGTTTTAATTGAGTGTCTTGTTAAAACCAGGTGAACAAAAATGGACTGGAAGCACAAATAATCGGCAAGTCAGAGCAGCAACAATCACATATAAGAAAATGTAAACAAAACACTTTTTTGGCAATGTTTCAGGTGTTTGTAGCGATGTAGTGATCAGAGAGATGTTAGGTATAACATTACCAAGAGTAGTGAAATGTAACCAGATTTAGGCAAACAAACCACAGTGGTTGATATAATGTAACTACTCCAGTTTTCTCTATCTGCCCAAACAATTCAGATGTAACATTATTTTCCCACTGGTGAAAAGACTCTGAATGACTCAAAATGTTACAATATGTGAATAATATTAATAACTAGAATCATGTGAATTCATATTTAATTTTAAGGTTTATCAGAACTAGATATTGTTAAAGTTGTTGTGAAAGGATGTAATAATTGTTTATGTGAGATTTTGTAATCATCCAATATCATATCTTAGCTGTAGAGTGTACTTGTTGCTGACGTGGTAAAAGGTCCATGAATGTTAAAGACCATCGTGGTTTTTGTTTGCCTTGTAGTACCGGTATTGGACGGACTGGTACCTTCCTGTTGATCTATACATGTAGACAGGAGATTGATCATGGAAATGGCATCATCAACATACAAGATATAGCCAAGAAGATGCTACGTCGGCGACGACACGCCATCCGAGAAAAGTCACAACTTAAGTTCTGTTATGAGGCTACTCTATACTATGCACAAGATATCTTAGCACAGCGTAAGTTCCTGTCCAATATAAAACAGATTTATCAGGCTACGAGTTTTCTTAATATATGTTGAAAAATTTGTTTCGCAATTATTGTAAAATAAGTCAAGTTTGATTAAGCAGGTCAATAGAGCACAGAAATCTATTTCTTTTTTAACGATTTAGTCACATGACTTTCGTTGTTACTCTTAACTACAAGTACACCATGTAAGCTGTGCCCTTATGACAGCCTGTCTAAGGCCAAAACATATTAACAACCAGTTAGAGAAGAAAGTAGAATGAACTGTTTGGAAACTTGGTTTCAGGAGTTGCTTTCCTTCATTTTGACTTGTTTATTATTGTGAAACCTAGCTGATGAACTTTGCAGGAAGTTGATACTTTCTAAATTTCTCCTACTAGACATTTTTCTTGTCTGTTTTTTTATAAGACATTAATTAAATTTTCTGAAAATTGACTTAATAGATTGTATTGAAAAATTATCTCAAGTAAGTTTGCAATCAATATTGTGAAGCAATGTGTCACAGCAAAAATTTTTGATTCAAAACAGAAATCTTATTCCCAAATACTGACAAGATAGAGTGAGTTGGAAACTCTATGTATTAAGGAGGGATAGATAAAATACTAAGGAGGACTGGAATCTATTGATCAGCTTCTGATGGGTGAGTTTTCTGGTCAATTGAAGCTTAATGGAAGATTTTTGGTCTCTTTCAGGAGGTATCTTAGTACACAAAGCATCGTTTGGAGACAAGTTGCCGCAACCAGGAGAGAAAACAAATCAGTGGACACCGACAGAAGATGTCGTGTTTGGTAACCTGAGTTTCAAAACACTTCAGAGCAACATGGCAAAGATGGGAATGAATGTTGACAACATTATTGAACCAACACAAGAAAAAGTAGAGTTTACAAAAGTTAGAGATGATCGAAGTGGAAGTCAGGACAAAGACACAAAGCCTGTGTTTAGTAGTCTCCCTGATGTGGTCCAGCGCACAGACACAACACAGTTGATCGAACATGTGGCTGAAATGGATACACCAGTGGATTTAAAGAATAAAAATATGAGTAAAGAGGCAGGTTTAGATTCACCAATCGGGAGTGTGGAGATCAGTCGATCTAGCTCTGAAATGTCATTGAGAAGCAACGAAGGTATCCCAGGACATGTGTTAAGTGATACAGGATCAGGTGTTGGGTCACTGGAGGGGTCACCAGTTCATCGACAGGATGGCTCTCTACCAGTGTCCCTCGCCGATCTCCAGGATCCAAAGACATTCACACTTGGGGCTGCGACAGGAAAGAAAAAGGTGACCAAAGCAAGTTTTATGGAGAGTCATTCCTCGTTAATGGATACAGCTTTGGATCCTTCTGATCCTCTCAGTTCACTGGACCCCTTGTGGAGCCTCAACAAACAGAAAAAGTGATTTATGCCTGAAATCAGGTTTGACTACAGTTAAATATTATGATTTTTAAGAATCTTAATGTTGTGTGATATGATATATCAGATCTTTGCTATTGATGAAGAATTTATCATCATCTTATAAAGCTCTTTGTTATGTAATTTGGATTATTCGAGTGTATGGTTTCAAATAATTTTCAACATAAAATGCTTCACAGTATATTTGTATATTGTATAAATCTGTCGTATAAAATGGCTATTTCATCTAACAACATCCATTTATCATTTTTTCTGCAACTTACTACACATTTTCTAGTCATCACAGGAAAAAATCACTTACATTTGAAATCCTAAAAATGAAATTTAGAGTACAGATATTTCTAGAAATTGTAATTTGATCATTAGTTTTACATGGAATTGATTAATTAAATTTCCTAAAGATTTCCAGAGGTAACTTAGAGAGTTGAGACAGAAGAGAAAATATTGAGGATACTGTTAGATTATTTTGTATACATAATCTCAGAAATAATGGATTACACACAAGAAAGATTTAATAAGTGGTACAGTCTGATAGAAAAAAATCTGCCTGGCTCTATCATCAGTAATACATTAAAGGCTTTATTTGTTTGAAACAATAAGTTACAGATGTAGAGACAATCTTTTTATAGGAAGAAACAGCCTCAGGTGGATTCTCTGTGCATTGCTGATTATAATTGTATGTGTTATTTCAAAACTTCAGATATTTATGTGAATTAATTTTTGCTATGAACCTCATGATATTTTGCCAATTCAAATGTTTAAGTTCAATCTTCTGCTAATTGACACAGAGAGTTAACATTCTAGCGGGGAAATGAATCGTAGTTGTGATAATTAGATGACTGAGTCAGTTTCAACTATTTACGTCTGTGCATGTATTTGATTTCTCTACTACAGACAGGATTCTTGGGTCGACTACTGGAGAATTAAGTTGAAAAAGCTTGCTGTGATATACGTTGTCTGTAATTGTAAGTGTGTCGTCTTTGTATGATAATTTAATTTAAAGTAACATTGATAAAGTTTGGTTTAGAAAAACATTTAGGGACCAAGATTGTTTAATTTTAGAATTCTTCTTTAACCCTAAAACAATATTGTATATGTAATTTGTTCAGTTTTCCCGAATTTGATCAAATTTGTTTTCAGTTGAACTTTCTTTAATATAGAATGTGTTACCAGGTATTTAAATGATGTGACAAGAGATTATTCAGAGGCTGTTTATGGATAGCAATTGATTTAAAAAAGTGATGAACACGTCTGTCATAGACGGCATTTTTTCCCCTCCTTTTTCTTTTCAATTTTGCAGATCCCTGTTATGATGTGCATTTAATTTATATAATTGTGTATATATTGTACAGTAATTTTTGGGACTCGGACATTTGAGACCCAGAATCATGCTTTGCCCATGTGAAGACCTTATTATATCTCTAATGAGGACTCCTCAAATTGTGAAACTGGTCATCTGGACTTGCCTTGACAAATCCTACGAAAATTACTGATTGTGTATGTATGTATGTATGGGTGGTTTTTTTTTGTTTTTTTGTTTTTTTGTTAATGCATTTTCAAATGTATAATTCTGTAATATCATAATTTTTGTATTATTTAAGGTTAAGGATGTATACAGTTCCTGTTTATTTCAAGTGGCGGAAACAATATTAATGCAGTCAGTCAGTCAATAGAATTGATTATGATACTGTTTGATAATCGATGATGTAAAAGTTTAACACAGCATTTTATTAAATCATGCCAAGTGTCATATTTATGTCTGGAAAGTGGGATGAAATTTTTGTCATTTGTATCTTTTTATACATAAGGGCATTTAGAATTTTATGTAACGGTAAGAGACCTATGTGTATGATGTTTCTGTAGAAGTATAATGTGTGCAAGCATCAGGTGAAGTGACTTTCTAATAAGAATAATATACTTTGCTTCTAAGAAACAGGAAATCATGTTCTGTATCTGCATAATATATGTTTTCCACCTAGTGATATGAAAAATTGTAAGACTGAACACTTTATAGTGGTAAAGGATGATATTCATTCATCCCGTTCATATGATCTGACCCTGGTTGTTGATGGGAAAGTACAAGCAAATAAGTCATGTGATCTGTTCATACATATAAATCTTAGTAGTAAGTGTCATCCAAAAATTGTCATCTTCACTCTCACATACACATCAAATAATTTTCCATACTCTAAGTCATAATAGCCTGTCTCCCTATCTTTTCTTAATGAACACATATTCTTTAAACAATTCACCACCATAATGCTGATGTTCTCAACACATTTATAATAAGTAGCTTTACTTCCTAATAGTCTATTAATTTGTTGTAATATATATATATATATATATGGTATCTACTTGTTAATTCATATCTACACTTTTCTGGCTGTAAACCAGAAATTTGTGGCCTAAGCTATTAAGAAAATTGTTTTATGATCTGAGCGATTCTTAGGAAATCAAAGTTTTTAAAGAGAAAAAAAAAAACTTGGAACAAATTCATTTGGTGCAATACAAATGTGACCGTGGATTGAAATATCTGTGAATGACAAAACATGGTTATTTTGCATTAATTGATAAGTTAACACAATCAATTAATAAGGATAATCCTGAAAATGACCTTGGATAAGATCTGTCCTGGCTTACATTTAGTTACATTAATAGGATAGGTTGGTGTGTTACTACTGAAAAATGGAAAGTTTACAAGTCTGAAAGTGAGCTTTGATATAAAACAATTTTTCAATATAAAATGTGTTAAAATCATTGTGTTTTTTATTCAAAGCTTTATGCATGCTGACCTTTGTTAATATTAAGTCAGGAAGTGTTTTCTCATTTCCCTACTTATTTTGTCGGGGTACTTGACAAGTAAGTCATTTACTTTAAAAATCAGGAAAGCAATCCTATATTACTGGAAATATTTAGGGGATAAGTGCAATTTGTCAGTAACAAAAAAGATAATCATGGAAGAGATGCATTAAGTACCATATAACCGTGTATATCCAGCCATAACTTACTCATGTCGGGAGGTGGGCCTATTACAGTACTATAAAGTAGCCTTGATGTTTAATTAATTTTGTTTGAGTGGGCTTATTACCAGTTATGGGCACATGACTGGATACAATATGAGCATAAAGCATAATGCACTGTAATATATGGTTGTTCTTTTGTCAAATGAGACCATGTTTTTATGCAAATATCTCTTTATCAACTGATGTCAATGAATTTGTGGTTGACTATAACTGTTTTGATACAGTTTACGGACTATAAAGTTGTCTTGAAGAGATAACTTTCATGTAGTGGATCAGTTTTGAGATGATACTACTTAACAGACAGTACTGGCCTTTCACCTAGCATCAGGTTTGATTGCCTTATGAAAAGGTAAGGGCTGCCTGACCATGTGGGTTTTCACAAGGTACTCCACAACCCGACCATAATAAGACCCCTCACATGCATACATCACGACCAATAAGAGTGATAAGTATATGTTGAAGTAACTTGTTTTGCAATTGTTGTAAATTAAGTAAAGTTTATATCAACAGGTAGCTGATTTAGTAATTCATCTGTTCAGTTAATCCATCAATAGTTTTATCTTAATCCTTGAAGTGATAAGTTTGGTTTAACACACTAAAAGATATATAGTAGTTTCAGCTCTCATGTTAACGTGTTCATACCAGTAATTAAATTTGTTTCAAAAGCAAATTTTTACAAGGATTTAAATGTTGACATCACTTTTTTTAGCATTTTTTTGTAGATATTGTTTGAATTCACAATATTTCCATTCATGTTAATAAAGATGATGTCTAGATCTTTAGAAATTTAATCACTTTAATGGATTCATAATATATAAAAACAAGTTGTCAGTGGGGAGTGAAAGGTGTATGGCTACTCAGTATTTCATGTGGTTGTGCCTATTGTCAAACAAGTGCTTGATGAATGTACCATTTTGAGGACTCAAAATAAGTCTGCAAGTGTCACATTTCACAAAATACCTAGTGATTATTGTAAATGGAGTCTGTTTTTTGCACTTTGAAATTTATGTGCTATTATTTGTTTTTTTTATGATGGATAGAAGTATATAATCAGGACAACGCAAACATATTGTAAAGGTATAGTGCAGTACAATATAGAACCCCTCAGCCCAACATGATAGCAACTGTATTTACACTGTTGATCCTAAAAAGATATAATAAAGGTAACTATTAAAGAGGATGAACCTCATATATGAATATATGTTGGGTCAGTAAAGTTGTAATTTTCTTTCAATGTGGTATCTGTACATACAAAATGCTGTAAAATGTATCAGTACTGGTATATATATTTATCCAAAATCCTTAAACTTTGGAACATGAGAAATAATCCTCTAAATCTGAAAAAAATGGAGCAATGTTGTTCTGTGTTCCCACTTCTGAACAATGCTATATATGTGATATAATGTAACCCATAATTGAATAAAATGGATTTATCTCAAATCATTGATTCCTTATTTTTCCATAAATCATTATTAGCTCACCTGGCCCGAAGGTAGTTGGTATATATATATGCCAGGTGAGCATTGCAGGCCCATTGCGCCTCTTGTTATATTATATATTATTATTTTATTATACATTGTTATCCTAGGAAAGCATCTGCTTTTTTACTGTATGGAAACATTGCAAAATTACCACTGTTTATGGTTTGTGTTTCACAGGAAGCCGAGATCATGAACTGATCTTTACAATCATAGATATCACTGGGCAAGACACTTTATCCATTAAATGAAATGTGGCAGGCCTTCTGCATGTTCTTCAGTAAGGTTACCTCCAGCCAAGTAAAGTTTACTACAATGAGTTCACTCCTTAAACAGGGTGATGAAAAAGCCAGACAAGTTACCATCAACATAATCTGTAACCAGGTCTGATTCTAGGCCTTTTGGTTCTGAGGCCTAGAGAATCCAAGTCTAAATCATCCCAGTGACCTACCTGCCACATATGGCTCTTGGCCTTTTTGTAACTGAGAAAGATGTCTTTTATATGAAAGGTGTAGATAATTTGGACCCCTGTGGCATTGAATTTAAGCTAAGGTAATTTGTTAGCCTTCTTCCAAGTAACTTTCCATCCAAATATTATTCTAGACCTTTTGACTATTGAGAAGAAGTTGCTTAAAAGATACAGATGACAAATGCTGGACCGTGGCATACGAATACTTGGTTCTTTGGACCAAGTGAGTTTAAGATTGAGAGAACTAGATTACAATTCCTTATTTCCAAGAAGGAAACATCATCATAGTCTTTCTGCATCTCTAGGTAATATTGAGAAAATTTCCAACCATTGAAAGAACCTCGATAAAAGATGAATACAAAGCTTTTTAATCTGATGTCATTGTTTAGTGTATCCACACCAACTTCATCAAAGATGTGATATACAAATGTAACCCATTTTTGCCTCACCAGTCTACTAAGTTCTCAGGTTGATTGGATAAAATTACTAATTAATGACCCAAGTTTTTGCACATGAAATAAGATTGTCCATACAATCAATAAACAACAAAAACATACCATCAATTCAGAATTAATATGCACCTTTATTTGATCACAATTTATTTCATTTTTTGTATCTTTTATCAGCGTAAATTACTTAATTTTCTCTTAACAAGATTTAAAATATTGATAAATATAAAATGGATTGATATGTCTCTTGGTAAATTTGTTTTTTCGTTTGAAGCGTATCCATTAAATGCTACAAGAGGGGAATGTTAATCGCACAAGATGTCCTGTACCCCTGAAAAATTGGGATTGACTTTTTGTTTCTGCAAATTAAGTATACATTAAAATATAACACAGACTCAAGTAAATGAAATGTTTCATTGGTTTTTGAATCAAGGTGGATGCGAGATAAGAATAGAGGCTTTGTAATTCAACTTTTTACCACGTTTGTCGTATCACATTTTTCACCAAGTTTTCAGGCCGGTAGTTGTTTGAAGAAAGCCAGTTAAACTTATGCATATGTATTTATAATATTTGACTTAAGGAGTACTGTGCAATATAGCTAGCTTAAAACTGATTATTAATGAAAAATAGCACACTGGTTTACAGGCAGTTGTTTCTTCAATTTAATTAGAATATTAATTATCAGGTAGATTTAGTTGTTATATAATCTGTGAAACTGATAAAATGCTTCAGATAACACTTTTTAATGCCCTTGTCCTGCAGCATCAATTCATTCAAATCAAAATGTAAAGAGTGCAGTCGCAGATTGACAAGTAAATACTAGACATTATCACAAAATGGATACATTAGAACATTGTATACAGTGGAACATTATTTGTACAAGAGCTCAAGCTGACGGTTGGAGCTGAGTGTAATAGAACATCTGACATAGCCAATATTTCTTAGACTGCAATACGGAATTGAACAGCTGTAAAATTTCTAGTTAAATTTTTCAACAACTGAGAAAAAAATAGTTCAGATTAGCAATGATTTCACAGCAAATGCAATAAAATCTATCTTTTTTTTCTTCTTACAATTCTTTTGATTCTTTTCCTTGATTGAGAGTTTGTTTAAATGATATTCATGATAACATTGTATATTAAGCACTATTTGTAAAAATTACTAATATATATTGTTGAGGTAATGTATTTGCATGATTTTAAAACGTTGAACTCACTAGTGGATTTCTTTCTGTCACTCCCAGAGAACATTAAACTGTGGAATTCAAAGTTTTCTTACAGAAACACTGAACAATAATATATTGAAAATATTTACTCAGAATGAGCTCGAGTCAGAAAAATAGAACTCTTATTGAAAAATAAATAGTCAATCCCTGTTACACTGTCATGCCCCTGTACTGCCATCGATTTCTGAAAACAGATGATAATATTAACGCTATCTTCACCTTGTTAAATACAGCCAATTAGAGTCAAGTACAGGTAATTGTTATTTGTAAATTGTATTAGAACAGGTAATCGGTGGTATGGTATCATACCACATCTAGATGCAAAAATAAATACCTGTACTGAAAATGTGATTTAATATTATAAAATTGATTCCTTTATGTTTGATGACTCAATACTCTTATTAATTATTTCACAATATTGATTTTACAATTCTACATAATTATTATTGAACATCGATATATTTGGATTATGTCTAGTCTGATCACAAAAATAAATATCGTAGGTTACACGCGATTATACACCGAACCACACAAAATGGTCATTTATAGCAACATAACAAAGTACATGATATTTCCAAGATAAAGTTTTATACAGGGCAATTCTAACGAAATAATATTTTAAAGACGCCATCATTTTATTTCAATCATGTTGTAAAAGATTGCCAATTTTTCCAGATAGAAATTCCAAGACCCTAAACATCTGTTCTTTTTTTCCCCACTTTGAAATTAAATTGACTTTCGGAAGCAGCAGAATCTATCAATACATTACTGGATTTCAGATGTTATTTTGTATCATTTGATGTGACAAGCACAGAAAGGAAACAAAATTGATATTTTTAAAATCCTGTACTTATCATGTACTTTGTTATGTTTTTGTAACTATCAGGTGTGTAGCAATGCCGGAGACCTCAGTCCAGTAGAGAACCCCAATGATATGTCCGAAAAGTGATCATACAACATTAAGTCCTTGAAACCAGCATAAACAATATCATGATCCACAACACACTGAGTTGGATTGGTCCCTGTTTGGACATTTCTACTTCGTTCATTTCCATTTGGTTCATGTTTTTCACAAGAAGCACAACCATGAATGGGATATTGAACCTGTTCATTAGAATTTCCGTAGTTGATGGTCACAGATTTGTTTGGACGTTGGGCTATGTTGGTCGATTGTGGATAATCTATCAAATGTTGATCGTAGGTGTTCTGGGTGTCCTTGTTGCCGTACATGTGCTTAACGAAAGTTTCTCTCAACGAAACCACAGTGAAAAGAGAGAGAAGTCCATCAACCGCGTTCTTTAGCACAGAGAGACCCTCATTACTTCTATCTGTAGCCCTTGTTGTCTCCTCATTTCCATGACCACTGACATCTGTTGTAACCGTATCTACTGGTGTTTTCACAACAGGAGAGGTATTGTTACAGCGACCATGCAGACCTTTCGGGACAGTTTCTGGAAGACTTGGGAGAGGAGGTGTCAAGATCACTGGACCATTGATCATGATTGCCGTTGACATAGTGGTGACAAGAAGAGTCGAGCCCACCATTGTCAAAACACTGGCTAAGTAGGCAAAAGAGCTGACCATCACCACCTGCAATAGAATCATTCAACTGTACAATATCGACACAGGATTTGTATTGGAATTCCTTTGATGACATTTAATAAATAATGAAAACTCTTGTTAGAATCATATAGCTGATTTTCACAAATACTACAGGTCTGTTCCACATAACCATAATTCATTATAACAAAAAATCACATTTATTTTGTCCTACTGCTACAATTATTTCTTTGGAAAATGGAACTGTGCAATTCAAGCAATATTTTTTAACCAAACTTATGTCATCATCAAAGAAAACTCGCTTACCTTAGAGATCTCCTGACTGAGAAAAGCAACTAGTCTGGCAATTTCAGGATCTTCTGATAGCACCATGAGGTCTGTGTATGTAAACCAACCCCGGTCTCTGGCTTGTCGCAGGGCAATCCTGACAGATAAATAAATATTGAAATGTCAAAGAAACCAATAAGGATATTGAAGAAGGGAATGTATAGTACTGCCCCTATTATTCCCATAAAAGGTTGTCAGTGTTGCTATGGTAACATGCCTTTCACCTAGCCATTTCGGGCCCGAATCCCAAATGGAGGCGAAAAGGAAGAGGGTCACCAGCCTGACCACATAAGCTTTCCCTGAGTACTCCAGCTTCCTCCTACACTAAAAACTTAAACCCTTGCACTCTTACAAAAAGGGTCAACAAGAAAGATTATTTTAAATTGAATAACTGGTTTTGCAATTGTTGTAAAATAAATAAAGTTTATATATTGCAAAAGAGGAAAGACCAGACTTAATATTTGTCATTGTTCAGTGGTACAATTATCATCAACATTGAATTCCAGAACGAAACTTTAAATATTGAAAGTACTGACTTCAAGACTTTCTTGCACTACCAATTTTATTTTGATATCACCTTAAGGAAAACTTGAAAGGGAGAAAGTACTGGACCAAACTTTTTTTTATAAACATAAATATCTCCTTTTTTTTGTATAAAGATACTAACCGTCTTTCCAAGTCATGAAGGATGTCGTAGAATTCATTTGGTTTGACAAAAAGCTGCCAGTCCTGAAACAGAAGCGTTTGGCTCATGTTTCTGATTCTGACACTAATACAATATTCTAATAGGATCTGTAAATTCATCTCCTGTTACGATTAAACAATTAAATGATTTCATTTCCATAGAATCAGCTAAAATTAAACCTAGCAATGTTACCTAAATCAACTTTTATGTGGAACTGCCATGAAATATGAAGGTAAAGATTTAATGTTATGTATATGTGATGAGCTTGATATCAACACATAATACTGAAGTATTAGGTGCATTGAACCATTACACAGCATGGGATAAAACAAAAAGTAACTAGAATGTCAGGGTTTTCCATAATTTTGTTAGTAGTAGGCTGTGTAGTGAAAGTAGGAGGCTGGCCTGCCATGTACGTGTAGTCATGTACGGAACATTATTACGGAACTGGATTGGTGTAGGCGGCCAAATGATCAAAGTAGCCGTTCAAATTGGCCGACGACTGGCTCTTATGGAAAACCCTGAATGTGGTCCCTTATACAGCGTTGATGCATCCTACATGGTATAGTGGAAGTGTGGACCATGCCATTTAAACTGTGCTGAAGAGGATTTAATTGATCTCAACATACCTCCCACAAAATGCTACAGAACTTTTGGTCACTGGTAAAGTTCATCTCACATGAAAATATTACATAACAGTGAAGATTTCTGCCATCAATTAAACTAAATTTGTTTACACCTACAATTGCTGACAAGAATTGACGCTCCATTTCATTCACTTCTTCAGTTTCTAGATCTGCAGAGGCTGCCCACTCGTCGTTAAAAACCTCATCATCAATTCCTTCATCGTACAAAAACTTGGAAGCCATCATCTGTTAAACAGTAAACTTAAGGTTCATTAATCACAAAAAAATTCGAACTGTTATTAAATTCTAACAGTTATGGTCTATTTTCAAGTATGTTTATGATGTTACTGCAACGCTGTTATAAATAGTTACAATTTGTCGCTATTTAAATATTTTGCTTCACTGAGGAATATCTAATTCTTTCAAACTTTCTTAATTGCAATCAATTTTTTTATAGCAGAATTAAAATTTGAAAATATTGCGAGATATTTTTCATTTGGATGCTGATGTGTGATCTTGTCATCCTTACCACAGAAATCAAGAATAGGTCAGAAGAAGAAATCTGTTGTAGGTAAGCAGGGTTCCGGGTCTTTAAACGTTTGACATAGAGCATACTCATCATTATCGAACATGGTGACATGCAAGCTTGTCTGTAACAAAGATGATCTTTTATATATTGTAACAAGTAGAGTAGTTTTTGTTCAGAAAAAAGGGAAGAGAACAACTTTCAAAAAAAAGATTTATAAAAATCTTCCTTTTTTTTTTATTCTTGAAGTAAAAACAAACCTCTCTCAAAACCAACTTAGCAAAATGTTTCAATGCTACAAAACGCTTCTAAAGTAATACAATACCAGGAATTTAAATGTGGATGGAGAGGGGGTAAAAAGAGATGGGCGAGTGGATCCATATAATGCTAGAAAGAATTTAACAACTTAATATATTTCTTCAGTAATTAATTTATAACCTATATCTATGAGTTACTTACTGACCAACTTTATGCAGCTGTCTATGTCAGAGTTCTGGAAAAGGTGTGTTATTATACTGAAGGCATAATTGTCTCACAGTTTACAGTAGCAGACTGCTTATTCAAGTCAATGATAGTTCTTGAAACTTTAATGGATGGAGTTTTGTCCACACATAGTGGTGGAGAGGAGTGTTTGGTTGGGGTACTGATAAGAATAAATGGTCTGTTGTGTTTAGATTTCAAGGTTGTTTTGTTGGATTGTAACAGGAATACTTGAGAAATGGGCAGAAAACCGATTTGGATGATTGTTTTTAAATTGTCCTAGTGCTCGTCTTTAATTACATCTCAAAAAGCATACTCTGTGGTATTATTTACGGGAGACTGCCATTTCAGGTTCAGTTTTTAGTGAAGTGATTCCAAAATTAAGCCTTTTCAACTTAGTGAAGTGATGCCTAAATTAAGCCTTTTCAACTTGATTGTGAAGGGTTCAATCTAAGCCTTCCAATCCTATACATTACAAACTCCTGATTTTTCCATGAAATCCTCAAATTTATGAACTGAAAGAGTCCTGAAACTCACACCATATAAGATATAGAGTAAAACTTTATTAATTTTGGTGGTCCTTTGTCAGTTTAAGGAATCACAATTAAGGTTTTGGAGAGTCAGAGATAACACTGCTAACTTATTTCCATATACTATGCACTGCCTACTTAAGAATCACTCCGTAAACAAACCTTGAAGTTGTTGCAGCCGTGTATGTATCCAGTTTTCCTAGTTGCCTTGGACATGCTTCTTGTAAGTATTCAACAGTTATTTCTGCAAGAGACAACATTTTTGCTTAGTTAACAGAACAATATTATCTATATTTTTTCTGTCAGTTTATTCATATGCATAAGAATTGACCATTGGGTACAACAAATGTTGTAACATCAAAACATTTGAGTATATTTTCCACAACTTAAGCCTTGATAGAAAGTTTCAACATCATAACACATCAATGCAGGGTTTCTTTTCTGGGGGCTCTGTATGGCTGGATATGGGCCCCACCATTGGTTGGATTAATATTATAATATGACCATATACCCAAAAAACATAGTTTACTTCTAGTACTCCTTCAGATTTCCTTTCCAACTGATCAATTTTCTTTCAGAATGAGACTAAAAGGCCCTTTCCAAAATTAGTGGAAAAAAGCTCTAAACTACAGAGACATCTTTAAACCCAAAATAATCATCTTTAGTGAATAAGACAGCCTCTATGAAAAGTACCCATCAGCTGTGGTAAAGCATGCCAACATCAAGTTCTTCCTTTCTCTCCACACGCCAAGTTAGTCTTTATGGTTCTAACTAACCAGCCGCAATTTCATTTGGTCTAGATCACCGACTGATAGTCAGAGTTCCTTTCCTGACAGTATTGTGAAAATTTCTTTTTTGATGAGTTACAACTGCCAGTCTAGAGAGATTCTGCATAGTGGTGGCCATTGTATATCGTAAAGTATCTGGTATTTTTAAAGGATTGAATATTCTGACTAATTGTCCGTAACCAAGACAAAATGAAATCATGGATAGTTCGAATCATTCAGACTAATGCCATATATAATTTACTATATATACAAACCAGTTAGAGGAAGCGAAGGGCGATCAGTGGAGGGTGTTTTTCCATAGTATAAGGTTTTCCTAAGGCGCTCTGCAAACTCTTCATGGTCCTATTAACAGCAATTTACATTAATACTAATTAATAAACATGAGAGAAACAATGTATATACAATTAACATCAGGAGTATAACTGGTCACTTTGAACTACCTAAATTTTGGCACTTCAAAATTTCTGTGCTCAGTATAATTAACATTTCAACAACCCGGTTCATTTGTTTCACTATGTATTGTACGCAGTGAACCTGGGGTCCATTGCCCCATCTCTTGCGTTTTCCTTGTGGTGATTTATACAGGGCCTAATTCAAAATATAATTTGGGTACTATTCGAAATGTCCCGTATCATTTCAAACGAATTCTAATCATTTCGGTACTTGCGAAATGGTTTGCACAGCTAGAGTGTCAAAACCTTTAAAACCTAATTAAACACAAAAATATAAACGTTTTTAAAAGTACCGAAACGAATTATTTTGGAAATATCGAAACAACCTGATACCAACACGACTTGCCCCCTTTCAAACAAAGCATTCAGTCTTTACATGGAATTTAAGACAAACTTTCTCACTAGATGAACAAAATGTTGGTTCCTTTCTGATAATCATGACGCATATATTTAATGAACGATGTACTGCTGACACACGATACATTCCGCTACATCAGACGGAAACATGACACAAACATTCGTTATATAATATCTTGTTTGTCCATCTCAACGAGCGATCCTTACCTCCTCATCGAATCCATTTAACCTATCGTTCCCTTTGAAAAAGGGAAGATAGAATGGCTGCATATTAACAGCTCTAGATGAGCTAAATAAACGTCAATATGTGTTTGTTTCCTTATGCTGTGTCTCGATTATTGCGCGGCAACTCCCCAACTTCCTGTCTTTCCACAAATCTCGCGAGACTTAGGTGTGGTAAAGTGTTCTAAACAAAATGGCGAGCATTCATTGGTAGTGAAATGGAGTGACAGCACTATACTTTGTATGCACACTGTATATAACAATGGCAGATATTAACGTGGATATATCGCTGCTGCCAGAGGAGGTTAGACGGAAGCTTGCTGAGCTTAATTTGGAATTATCGGAGGGTAAGAACGAAATATCAGCTTCCTAATTTTCATGTTTTTCGGCTGATTTACAGCAGACCATTTCATTCCGAATTGTGTTTCCAGCTTCCGCTTCTGTGTAACAACAAAAGGAATTGCTTCACCCTTTGCATGGAACCAAACTGTTTAAAGCCGTTGGACTTAAATTTAATTATAGCTAATGTAGAAAAGAAAATATTTTATTAGAAATAGTACTTTTGTTCTCTGAAAACAACACCGACATAAATTAATTTTCATTTTCGTCTCAGCTTCAGCAGTAGAATATTAGGCTAATATTGTCGCGGCTCACTACTGTCGTCTATCGACACCGTGCCTAGGTTGGACGAATATTGTATTCAATTTCATTCTTCATTTTAAGTACTCCGCAGAAAGTAATGGGGTATTGGGATTTAAAACTTGGAGATAAATTATTTACCCTTGTCAACAATGACTCATGGCTTAAATCTGTGACACTGCTAATAATGTTTTTGTATTGGCAAACTGAATGCAGTACGCCTTTTTATCTTAAAACCGTCTCCAATTTTTCATGGCTGTGCTTTTATACTTTCAGTTTTTTTGTTATTTGCCCATCAGATATTAAAGATATATGAATTAATATAACTGCAATATGGTGAAGTGCAGTATGTTTTTGTTTTGCAGTTTGCTACCAGTTGTCACTTCCTAGTTTTATCAATATTACTTACTTATTTATTCATCTCCTAATTTTACAAGTTAACTTACTGCGTATTATTATATTCATATTATGTTTGTAATATTTTGATGATTTAAATGAAGAAAAAGAAGCAAATGAGTTATATAAGTTCATCTCGACATGATCTTCAGGTAGGGGATTTTTGTAGATATAAATACAGTGTGATTGAACTAATCTAATGATTTAAACACTTGTAATTGTTACTTTTGTAGTAGAAGATAGGTCAGACACATTACTAGCTACAGCCTGTCAGAATATGTTACTATTGTAGTAGAAGAGAGGTCAGACACATTACTAGCCACAGCTTGTCAGTATATTTCTTTGAACAAGTGAAAGAGTGTTTGGCTAGGGATGCTAGTTTAAAATGAAGTAGGGACAGTATATTTTACATCAATCCTAATGACTACTACCCTATTATACCTTTTATGTAATTTAGCACACATCAAGGCTTTGTTAGAGGTAACTGAAAAAAATTTTGAGTTCTGTTAACATAGTCCAGTACCAGACCATGTTTTATTCTATTATACCTTTAATAACTGCCAATTTTGCACTGGAGTTTGTAATTTGACAGAAAAAAATATAACTGGTACTGAATTAGGATTATAATGCTATATGTGGAGTTATGGTCCTTTGTCAAACAAATAGAAGCTGTTTATAGTATCCATCTTATGACATTAAAACATTGTTTCTAAACTGTTCTTTGTGAAAAAACTTCAAAGTTTTTATTACCAGGTATTGTTTATCTTTTCAAAAAAAAAAAGAAGAAAGAAAGAAAAGAAAAATCCTATAATAAATGAGTTTAAAAGTTTTAATTCGTTAAAACATAAATGTATCCAGATATTGGATAAATTCATGTTAGCCTATAGAAAATTATTCATGATTGATGTAGAACAATATGTTTAATCTTTTAACATCTTAACATCATATCTGGTACCACAGATAAAATATGTACATACATGACCTAATTAGGTCACAAAATATACAACAGAAAACACTTTGTAAAAAATATCATCTTATGCCACATGTTAATAAAATTGTTGTAACAGAATTTACCTGTAAAATAGATAAAACAATAGTTATTTTCAGTGCTCAGCAATACAAAGAAAAGGGAAGCTTACGATTAGGATTATAGGGTCTAATTAATTGGTCCCCCCCCTCTCCCCTTCCTTGTAAATATATTGAATGCACAGTATTTCATGTACCTGTATGAGGTCATCCTCACATGTAAGCCTGCCCATACAGGCCTAGTCTATATCACTGTGACCCTGTGAAGTACTATGTGTCAGCATTGTGGTGTTGACTTCGTGATCTATGTTGGTGAAATCATCCATGTCCTAGGTAACTGGTTCACCGGTCTTTAGTACATGGTCCCCATGGGTTGTATTACTACTGTTGCCAGACAAGAGACCAAGTGTAAGGCTGTAGTACATACACTGCCTCAACTTGCATGTATTCTAGTTGGTTTTCATGGATCCAGAATTAGATGCCAGTGTTAACCAAATTTTCCTGCAATATAATCAAGGGTAGATAGATATATCTGAATGAATTATCTGTAAATTAGTGACAAGTTCATTTTGTGTTTACCTATACCAAGCACTGTTGTTATGTAGTTGATGGTCTTTATGTTTGATTGTCATTTGGCCTGACTCAGTGACACTTGACATGATGAATACTGTCCTTCATTGTACATGTCTTGTTGTGTTTAAAATGTCTGAGCTTATTCTTTGTACATGTATTCCTCTTTGTCAGGATTTTTAAAAATAAAAACAGATGCACTAACCAGACAAGTATTTTATTTCAATTACAGGAAAACTCTTTTTATGATCGAGATAAATGTTTATGATCTGTTAGGGAAGGACAAAATGATAAGTATGGATTTAAATGTGATCAAACTTCAGGAAATGTTTTGTAGGTGAAGCAAACTTTCAATATAGGAAGTGTTCTAATAGGTATAAGTGACCTCTACCTCTCAGCCTCTTCTAGTAAACTTGGACTAATATGTGTAACCTCCTTCCTGTCACGTCAATCACTTGGTTCACAATGACAATTAAAATTTGAATGCAGTTTATGTAGTGTGTATTCAACACTGATACATTTGACATTTAAAGATAGATTAAACTTAAACAAACTGTTACTTAACTGTTCAGTTCTACATAATTGTCCAGTTTTAACACAACTGTATTACTGTATAGCTATAGCACTGTAGAGCAAGGGAAAATGACTTCAATACAATTTAGACAACCGGTAATAAACTTTACTAGTAAGAAAAGTTTTATGTATTTTTCTTTTATTTCTCAAAAAATCTTTCAACATGAATATGACAAGGAGAATATGCCTAACTTTTGAAGTATAACTGATCGGTAGAAATATATTTGAAAGTTTTTAAAGTGAATGGTGTTTTGTGATAGAAATCTTTAACAACACCTGTGAATAGCTGTATTATCTTTGGCAGCTTCTGTTCAAGCAAGGGGATTCCTGTATTTTGTTTTAGCACTTCTTGCTGGAGTCTTGAATTTTTTTTACAGAGACTACTACATATCCATTGTTTCATCACATGCCTGATATTCTATATGATAATGTAATAGTTATTTGAATAAGAATGACATGAATATCAAATTTTTTGTTTTAATGTTTAGGGAATGGGTTTTAAATATTATGGGGAAATTTCAGAGTTTTGGTGAAAGTGGATTGGATTAAAAGATATTTTTCACATACAATTATACATGTAATATGTATGAAGCTTATTCTGAAGATTTTGATGGGATTTCAGCAAAACTCCAGTAAAAATTCCTTCGTCTCACCCCAGTCAGTGTTCATGCTTAGATATTTTTATAATTCAGAGATTTCAAAATTTTGGATCCATTCATGATTGAAATTTTGAAAAGAAAGTAAAACAAATGGAGGGAATATACCTCTGAATTGTGATGAATTTATTGATTAGAGACTGCCTGTTATAGTGAGGTGAAGCTGGTAGTTTTACACCTAAGGGTGGGGATGACTCACTGCTGTGATTACACAGGATACATACACGCTAGAAGGCAGCTCCATATATCTGTTGTTTGTATCAATATATATGACTACAGAGTAAATATCTGTGTTTGAACTTCACAGATCTAATTGAAGGAGAAGCTGGACATTCATATCTGGTGTTTTCACATTAGTTTGTGGCCTGGTCTATGTAGGTTCTGTATTATCAGTTAACAAGGCTAAGTGTTTAGTCTGTTTCGTATGTCAACACATATCCACTGGCCATGGTAAGGCCAACTGTACTGAGATCTCCTGGTTTCCTTAAGCTTTGAGCAATGCATTGTATATAAAGATAATTTATTTTAAGATTAGACTTTCCAGTTTTAATTATGTTAGAAACAATGAAGTGACGAGTGAAATCCTATTACACCATTCATTTGCCTGATCCTTCTACCAGATTATCATTTTTTCTTGCAAAGACACCGGAAACATAGCAGTACCTTTTTTGCCTGTGAGGATGTATTTTTGTTATCATTCCATGTTTTTCTTCTCCTGACTTCCATCTTTCTATGTATTGTAAACATACACCTCCTGTATAACCCATACATTTTAACACATGTATTTGTTTGTGTAGGGTCGACAAGGGATCAAACTTGAAACTTATATTATCATCAAAGTACACTTCTCTTCAGCAATGCAGAGACCTTCAGCTATGATCTAGACAGTTACAAAAATGCTTAACATTTTTTAAGAATTCTTTCAATTATCAGCCTTCAAATTCAATCAGTCTACAGATCCGACCATAACAACTTAACTTACTGATCATGAGCACCAGAATGTTTTTTTATTGTTAAATGTGTAACATGAAGCACTTTAAGACTGACTTTTAGAGATTTTATTGTGGTTATTCGGATAAGAAAAAAAAATATTGTGTAAAGGCTATCTGGCAAATCTGCCCCTTTATCAAGACACCAGTTATTACAAAATTCACAGCACTTACATAGAACATAAAACAAAGACAAAATTATGAGCTATAATCAGGTGTGATAGTGTAAGTTTTCAAGGCTGTCTCTCTATTAAGACAACATCAAACTCATAACATACAACCTGATGCTGTGAAGAGGGTGTAGATAAAGATGACAGTGGCAAAAATATAAATGTTCTGGACCATGTTATATAAGGAATATAATATAATGGATTAACTTATTGCCAAATGAAGATGTAATGTTGTACTTAATCGGTGTGTATTATGTGATTTTGTTGATAAAAGAAAGCCAGTATTCAGTTCCAGTAGGTCATGGTGTTCAACAAGTTAGACATTGTG